TGTTCTGGACGACATCCTAACAATATATCCTAAATTTCTGTGTCCATTTTAAAGAATGAAGAACAATTTTATTTATATTACTTCTAAGCTGCATCACTTATGAACCCATCCCTGCCCTTGTGTGGCAGTGCACAATAGAAAGTTGTATTTACATATTCATACATTGAAACATTGATTGTAACCATGATATATATATGTGCTTCAGCCTACAGTTTAGACCTATTGACTTGTGTATGACCTGTCCTGCGTGACAGTGAACACCAGCATTATCCTCACTCTAATAAGACCTAATTGAATTCCTCAGATTAGGCAAAACAGTAATTAAATTGTCAATAAAGATGTTAATAATAATCTTATCTATCCTGTCTTTTCTCTCACCCTCTATTCCTGCCTCACCCCTCTCCAGTCCCCGACGAAGGGAGACATGGAACAACAAAATAATGCCTCTATACAACATGTTGTTGTTTTCGCTACCTGGAACAAAATGTTCCAGGTAGCACGGGCTATGGTGAGCCTGGTGGAGATGAACCCCGCGTCCAGAGCCGGGTGGAATTAACAGAGACGCTGGATTATTAGTGAAGGCGTGTAGAAGGTCATTGCAAGCCACTCCACGGTGTGAATGACAGTGCACATGTGCGTGCAACAACACACAATGGTATTCAACTTGGTCCTGTAATCTACTACAAGAAGGATACATAATACCTGAAATAGGCTGTGCATGAACACTCCAAACATTTTGTAAGGTTAGGCCTAAAGCCACTCAACATAAATATGAACATTACGCTGCAATTAAAGTTTTTTTTTATAGTCAGTCTGAAGCATTGCACCCCAATTTAAACCTCAAATAGGAGAGAGAACCCTATTGGGGTTTACATGTTCTTATGGCGTGCTGCGTATCACTTTTGTATACCAGAGGCGGGACCAAAGAGCGAAAGCTCAACCCCCGCAAGCACAACTAGGTGAGTGGCACTATCCAATACTGTCCTTATGGTGACGTGTTCAGTCACAGGGTTAACTTGTACTGTCCAATACTAACCTTGGTATATTTACTCACAGGATAAGTGGCGCTGACCAACATATTTACTCAGTGCGGCCAAATTTCACTCACTAGGCTTTCCAGCAAGGTCATTACTTCTCGTATGTTTTTTGTCTCATCGGTTACAAGTACCTTCGTACGCAAGACAGTTCGAATTTTAACCCCTTCCTAACCTCACTTAACCTAACCACACCCAACCGAGGCAACATAAGCTAAGCATTCACGTCCCAACCTAATGATATATACGATTTTGGCAATCCGAAAACCAGTTTTGTCGAATCATCTTGTGTGCCATTTCACCATACCCCTTCACGTGTTCAGTTTCCTGTGTGCCCTTATCTCAGTGTATTGTATGTCGTGTTCCTCCGCTCTCCTTGAATCCTGCGTTGTCAAGGTCAGGTCTCTTTTGTCTTCATCTCCTTTAGTTCAGAGACTAGTCTAGACTGGAGACAATCTCGGGACTTTTATCAATGATTTGGATGTGCTTAATAGGTTCGGATTCTAAGCGTGTTTGAGTGTGCATGTGCACAACTGTACATATTTATATGCACCTTGACTTGTGTATATGTATGTTGTGTGCGTCCTGGCATCTGCATGTATATATATGCTGTGTTCCCGGGTACTTGGCTGGAGGTGCTTATCTAACAGTGACCATGGGGAAGTGAGGTCTATCTCTATACTCTGACAACTACATCCTTGTTACATTCGCTGTGTATGCGTGCGTATGTACTTGTGAATGCATGCGTACGTGTGTGTGTGTGTGATTGTGTATGCGTGAGTGCATGTGTAGGCGTGAGTGCATCCATACGTGTTGGGGGAGCACACGCATGAGCATATCTCTTTCAAGACTGTGCATGCACTCACCTAGTACCTGCATGTAGTTGTGCCAATGTATACTTATACACCATTCCCCCCCCCCCCCTTCCTGGCGCCCCACACGTACCTAAACAGTATTGATCCTCGGCTACTTTCTTAGAATCGAGGAAGCTGTGGATTCCTCATACCTTAGATTCGACTTAAGAATCATTTAAACAAATCTTGAAGCGGCCGGCGTCTCTGAGACACGCCTCGTTGCCTCCGATTACTGTACCCCAACTCTGGGCTCCTTGGCGACACACAACAACTCTCCCGCGTTTTTTTAAACTGCGTCCGTTTTTTATGTGCACAGATTTCTTGCCAAATTTATAAATGTATTTGTGTGTGTTAAGTTAATTTCACGCGTCTTATTTTCATCGTGTACGCTTGTTTTTCGTAGTTATTTGCATCATCCCACTTTCTACTAGGCTTCATAAACGTAGTCTTCCTATGATTTGTATCCATAATTTTAAATATTCATATTAACTTTTAACTGACATCTCCGACTATCTTAACTTCCAATCTTTCCTCCTCTTAATTGTCTTATAGTTTTTCACTGACTCTCGTCTCATTTCTTCACGTTTCTTAGATTGTCTTCACTATTTCTTCCCCTTCCCACTAAAGCATCGATTACCTAGTTCTCAGAGGCATCTCAACCCCTCCCATCCTCAGTACTCAAATCGTATCTAGCATTGACTTTCATTTATCTTCATTTATATCTTCATTGCCAAGACTTTCTCTATCAATCTTCCATGTCACTCCTTTCGGTCGTACAGCATCACTTTCTTTATTCTATTCCTCAGTCAATCGTTTTAGTCATTTCCATCACCATTCGGTCTTTCCAGTCATTACGTTCAGACTTTTTCCAATATCATGCGGCATCTGCAGCTTTTCTCGTCGCTATATTTCATGTCTTTTTTCCATAACCGCTAGATTCAGGCTTTTCCGTTACTTATTGCTATTTACAACAATCTTGTTTTCAGTCTTTTGTCTTTTATCTTTCAGTCTCTTATTTCTGGTCATTTTCTGATCGCCCTTCTCATGTCTTGCCCTCAATTTCTAATTACCTTTATCACCCCTCCCCTCCCCTCCCCTCATTTCCTGAACGCCCTCATGACCCTTCTCTTTCCCCTCATTTTCCACCCCAACTCTCCCCTCCGTAATTCGATCCGATAATGACAGTCAGTCCACTAACTCTAAACCGTAATGCAACAACTTTTGCTTTTAAGAATGATTGTAGCAGATATATATGGTCATTTATCATTAAAGGTCAGTGGACACGCGACTGGAGAAGTCTGACTATAGCAACAACAATAATAATAATAATAGTAATAATAATAATAATTATTATCATATAAATTTCGATAAGATAGCAGCCAAAGAGATTATTACTTAACCCGCAATAGAATCCAGCTTGGGTGGACCTTATTTCAAGGTCTACCACGAAGGCAAACCACGGGAAAGTGAGGTACGCCCCCAAGGCACACGAGGATTTAGCCTGTGTTTATTTTGCTATTGTGAAGAGGGTCTGTGAAAAGGGTCTGTCAAGTGGGCCTAATAGGCCGTGTCCCAGACTAACAAAACGCCCCTAATTAATGGAAAGATAAACAATAATGGACTTTCATTCCGCTGATGGACCGTGTCGGTAACTGATTAACCCGTTTCGTTGTTGACAAGTCGACGATTGGTGATTGGCTTCTCAATAATCTCTTGGAATGCTCAAGAATGTGCATGACTGAGTTGAGCAGTAATGGAAAGCACTTCGGAATTCCTCTTGTAAACAAATACTTTTTATTGGAATTCCATCCAGTCAGATTAGGCTAGTTTGCTAATATCGTCTCACGCACATTATTAAAGAATAAACGTTAAAACTTTTTTTGGATTGGCTATTTCAAAGAGCATAACAATACAGTGATAAATAAAAGACGCTTTTAACTTAGTTAAAACTACGAGGGATGGAACTATAAGAGGAAAAGCGCCAAGATAAAGATATGGGATGGGATGGGAGGGTGGGGGGGGGGGAGGGAATGGTCTCCAACCACTTGAACGGTCGGGGATTGAACGCCGACTAGCATGAAGCGAGACCGTCGCTTAATAGAACTACGAGTAGTTTCTCGAAAGCGGCTATGTTATATCCCCAGGACGAGGGAGATGGAAGCCAGGAGCAGGAGCGGTCCGGCCCACCGCCCCAGGGTCATCTGAAGGACCAATAATTACGGCAACACTGGATTTCCCAGACTGTAATACAGTACGTGAATGATTCGACTGGTTATTCAACCCTACTACACGCACCTTTACGATTTAAGGCAATTCTGCAACGTTTAATAAGCTTAATAACATCATTAAGACAACAGAACCTTTGTCGTATGTTACAAGGCATCACCTTAAGTTTCAAATGTGTGATCTGAAGTCCGGAGTACTAAACCAGGTATCAATGGTTTGGCGTCAATGTAGGAAGCGTTTCCGGCAGCAGACTTTCTATGACAGCTGTTGTGGCAGCAGGAAGCATGGCAGGCAGCAGACGTCAGGCCATGAACACCTTCTGTAGCTGCAGGAAGCATGGCAGGCAGCAGACGTCAGGCCATGAACACCTTCTGTAACTGCGGGAAGCATGGCAGGCAGCAGACGTCAGGCCATGAACACCTTCTGTAGCTGCAGGAAGCATGGCAGGCAGCAGACGTCAGGCCATGAACACCTTCTGTAGCTGCGGGAAGCATGGCAGGCAGCAGACGTCAGGCCATGAACACCTTCTGTAGCTGCGGGAAGCATGGCAGGCAGCAGACGTCAGGCCATGAACACCTTCTGTAGCTGCGGGAAGCATGGCAGGCAGCAGACGTCAGGCCATGAACACCTTCTGTAGCTGCAGGAAGCATGGCAGGCAGCAGACGTCGAGCCATGAACACCTTCTGTAGCTGCAGGAAGCATGGCAGGCAGCAGACGCCACAGTTCGCGTGGTTCAACAACGTCGCCACCGCCTGGAGGATTGCGTCATCGCGGCCAGTAGTATCGATCTCAAGCCTCCACCTTGTATAACCTTATCTAAATTACTCTAGCTTACAACAAAAAAATCATATATCTATATCTATAATTTTCCAGCATTTGTACTTACTTAGGGATAGCTGCCTCCATTGCACCTTCTTCTTACACTTTTTCCCCATTGATAGCTATTGTGAACAGGTTATAAAAGTGGCTAACAACAACTTCTAATCAATGGAGGAACATGACACATGGCCGCCCGCCACCCGCAAAGTCCCACGTGAAACTACCGGAGTCTGGCTCACTGCCGCTACACACACACGCCGACTGGCCGCCCCTTGCCACACTCGCCTCCTCAACAACTTCTCCCCCAATTTTCCATCTTCTTTCGTGAGGATGGTACTCTTTTTCAACCTCTCCCTGCCAGTAACAGGCTGTCAATGTTGATTTGGGAAGCGTGTTAGCGGTAGGCATTGTGTACTTTTCCAGGAATTAGTGTTGGAAGTCAAATTAGATAAGGGGTGTGCTCGGCGTGAGCCAATAGCCGGGCTCCATTATGGTGACGTCAGCAGCATGTGACTGAGCCCCGCTGACTTTAAATATATCACGTGAAACGGAAGCTAGTCTCGTAATGTTGTCTTTTTTAACGCCAAATCGATGCTGTGATCAGCTGTAACTGAAAAAAAGATATAACACACGTGTCAGATGCATCTATGGCTCTGGAAAGTTTGGTTGACGGTAATGGCATCACGTGGGAGCCACGTGATTGATTTAGATAAATTATTATGCATGTCGTTCCCATCCTGTGGGAGGTGGTAGAAGGGGTACAAGGGCCCCTGTAATGACTCCAGGAGCTGAACAAGTTACAGTGATGGTCAACTAGTTACAGTGGTCGGGGTTCGCTTCCCGCGGCAGGACAAGAAGCGTTTGGGCTTCCTTTCCTTTCACCTGATATATCTGTTCACCTAATAGTAAATAGGTACCCCCGGGAATTAACCGATTGTTGTAGGGGGGTGCTTAAAGTTTTCTCTCCCAAACGAAATTAAATTCTTGTTATGCATATTAAATTCTTGTATATCTTAGTCAAAATTAATAGACTCAAATTAAGGTATAATTATTATTATTATTATTATTATTATTAATATCTTTACTGCCATCTCCATCAACATTATCATCACAATATCATCATTATCACCATAATATTACTCATAATCACTCAAAACAATCACTAACACCACTGCCCACACTATAATCTCTCACTATTATTACTCACCCACGTCATTATCACTTACTCTCACTATCATCCTGTTTGTCTTACCAAAACCTCAAAATTACCATATCTATCAACTTTAATATTACCATTCTCACCATCACCTATCTTCATTACAGTCCGCGCCATCGTTCACTATCACACTCACCCTCATAATTGCCCCCTCACAATCACCCTTCGTCATCAATCTCATCACTATCAGGGGGGGTCACAATCACTATACCACTCACAGCATCACCACCACTCTCGCCATCACCATCACTCACACCATCCCTCGCTCAGCATCACTCTCAGTATCACAATCATCACTGTTGATCCTGGACTCAGCGCAGCCTCACGGTCGAAGCTGCCAACACTGCTTCACCATCAGACTGTAGTGAGCTGCTCATTGTTCCAAGGTCGGCGCCTGTGCTGGTAATACTCACTCATACGCGCGGCTCTCTCTCTCCCTTCTCTCTCTCTCTTCCTTCGCTCTCCCCCTCTCTCCCTTCTCTCTCTCTCTCTCCCTCTCTCTCTCTCCAGCGTCAGACAAGCACAACTCCCCCTGTAGTACAGGAAGGAGCCGCTGGTTGTATCAATGCCCCAACATGCCCCACGTTCTCCTCGCATTGATTTAAAACACTTTTAACATTCTTACAAAAGTTTTCACTATTAATCTATATATTTTTTTATATCAGAATCTTGCAAGCAACATTAATTCAAGACCTTGTAGTTTGCACTAATATGGTTTACAACGAATCAATATACTGTACAGAGTTGGTGCATGCCTTGTTGCATGATAAATATTGTAAATGTACAACCAAGCACTTGCAGGATGTATTTGAATAATTTCGCGGCTTTCATTTATGGCCTTGTAGCATATACTGACCACTTTGCAATACTGATTTACAGCCTCATAATGCCTATTTCCAACCTCATAATACTTATTTACAGCCTCATAGTACTAATTTACAGCATCATAATACTTATTTACAGCCTCATACTTATTTACAGCCTCATAGTACTTATTTACAGCCTTATAGTACTCATTTACAGCATCATAATCTTTATTACAGCCTCATACTACTGATTTACGACCTCTAATCCTTATTTATAACTCTCAACATTTAGTTACGACCTCAATGCATTTACGACCTTACAACACTCACCGTGGGTGATTACATCATTATCGGAAGGGAACTTTTACCATGTAATATACACTACACAAACGTGGTCCACACTAAGCATTGGTGTGCCACACAGCCTACACCAGCACTAACGTCATAGTGACGTCATTCGCTTCGTGTACATTATATCTAAAACACAAACTGTTATCTCAAACTTGTTTTAGGTTATGGTAGAGTTGGGTAAGGATAGGATAAGATAGGTTAGGTTAGGACTGATTCAAGAGCTGCGATGACGTGCTAGGAGCTCCATCCATTTCTCAGATCCTAGACCCGACTCGATAAACTTGAGGTCATAAGACATTCTCACTATTCTCCACCAACTTACCTCATAATATACTAATATGCAACATCTTGATAGTACGAATGGTAAATTAAATGCTTGTCTTCTGTACGGACTGAAACGCCCATCGTGTCCAGCACGGCTTAGAGACAAGTTATTGCTGTCAGCAGGGCAGTTAGTGCTACCACTGCACCAGCAAGCAGCCTGTATGCTAACTAGCTGTGAAGAAATGTTGCCAACCTCACGAAAATGTGTATCTCAATTGCGTGCTGCGTATTATCTAGTGATACCCCACTTTACCTGCACCCTGGATTGCAAATGTCATTCCAATATATCCTTCATTGAAGTTACAAAAATTCAGCGCTACTCAAAGCAGTTTTTTAACATATTAAGGTTCATTTACATTAATTTATATTAATGCAGCTACCCTAGGCTATATGAAGGGCCGTAATCAGTAGCCTGCATTGGCACACTTGTAATCCATTATGATAATAACCTCTAGTGACACGTGACATTATTAAATTTTATGTATATGCTCAAAGGTCACAGGAGCACTATGCTTACACTGTTCAGCCGCCAACAAGTCGTACTTCGCCAGCCGGTAAGTCGTAAGGAAACAACATATGTATAGAGTTGTTGTTTCAGATTCAGCTCCTCGGAACGAAAAATTCTAAGTAGCACGGGCTATGGCGAGCCCGTAGTGGATCTGGCACAAGAGCGGGGCTGTGGTAAGACTACCAGTGTAAGATTTACGGGCTATTCATGCCCGTGCCACCTCTTGAGTAGCTTAATCATTAACATAACTTAACCATTACGTTGCATAATTTTAACATGCGTTCCGATATATTGAGGCTTTTATTATTCTTGGTAATTTTACTTCTCCCAAAGAACTCATGTAGTTTTAGACAGTTGTATTTAAACTCGCACATAACCTCTCATTCCTTCATCCCATATATTCTTCCTTCATACCTTATCTCCTCCATTCACCCTCCATTATTATCCCTTCGTTGTTGTTAAGATTCAGCTACTCGGTACAAAAGTTCCAAGTAGCCAACCCGTTCTCGCAAATTCGTAAAGTCAATATTGACTTATTAACTACGTGCATAGGTGATATACTAAACATAATAGATACCCTTAAAAAGATTCATAGAAAACACCGACCTTGCCTAACCTTGTTAGTATCTTAAGATAAGCATCTTATTGCTTCGTAATTACAATTATTACTTAACCTATACCTATTATAGGTTAGGCAATAATTATAATTACGAAGCAATAAGATACTTATCTTAACATACTAAGTAGGTTAGGTAAGGTCGGTGTTTTCTATGAATCTTTTTAAGTGTATCTATTATGTTAAGTATGTCACCTATGCACATATTTAATAACTCAATATTGACTTATTAAATTTGCGAGAACGGGTTGCAACAGCACGGATTATGGTGAGCCCGTAGTGGACTTACCTGGCACAGGAGCGGGCTGTGTGAGGTAATATCTCTGTTGTTGTTGTTGTTGTTATAGATTCAGCTACTCGGAAGAAGTTCTAAGTAGCGCGGCTATAATGAGCCCGTAACTTGCTTGGCACAGGAGCGAGGCAAGTAGCACTGGCTATGGTGAGCCCGTAGCTTACCTGACACAGGTGTTATCTCTTCTCTTCGTCCCTTATATATATATCTTTCCTGGACCCGTCTCCTCCTGTTACGGGCTATTCATGCCCGTGCCACCTCTTGCGTGGCTTAATCTTCATCCATCAATCAATCTCCTGTCACTCTATAATCATAAAAACCTCCTGCAAGTTCAGACTTACAAAGCGACAGACTCCTAACATGGCGTTAAACCTCGCGGTGGCTGTTTTTAATTAATTTATTAATTGTATTTATTTATTTATTTATACACAAGAAGGTACAGTGGTTTAAGAAAGTACATACACTAGGATTTGAGTATTCTTGCAAAGCTACTGACACGCACAGCGTTTCGTGGAGGATAGTGGATTAAGGATTAATTTAATACCTTGTATTTAACCAAGATAAAAATATTATACGGTAACCATATGTAACAATTAAGAAAACACCGGTTGTCCGGAAACTAGGCTGGTCCCGTTTAAATCCGGGTTGCCATGCCATACATGGCAACCCGGGTTGCCATGCATTAGGTAGGGGGCTGGTTAACATACTCGTGGGTATGGTATATGTCCAGGGAAATTTATTACGTACCAACAAAGCATTTGGCAAAAGCCGTATGAAAAACATAACTTCTAATTATAACCTAAGAAGTCAAGAACATATTTGCTAAATAATTGAATGTTAAATTGTTAATATTTTCATCCTTTTATTATTTACTAATAATATTAGAACTTTTATAAAATAAAGTGCAAAAAAAACTTCCTGGCGGGAAACAAACAAAAAAAAAGTTTAATCTCGTGAGCATCTGTAGTGGAGATGAAGGTGGGCAGTTTTGGCAAATATCCCAGAGAAAGCAAGGCAAGCGAGAACAAACTACTACACCTGACTACAGTACGTAACTCAACTGCCACACAACGTAACAAACTTGGAGCCTGTGGTTGTGTAAGAAGTCAATGGTGCACACTGATAATAGAGCGAAAAGGAAATATTGAGAAGCAAACATGGGCCAATACTCACTTGGAGAGACGTGTGTGAGCGCCTGGCGAACTGAGATTGAGCTCAGAACTGAGCTCAATCGGTGATGACCAAACCACATATCAGGAAATAAAGAAACGATGTTTCGGTCCGTCCTGGACCATTATCAAGTATTTTAATGGAAACAGAGGAAGAGACAGACAAATGTCGGTGCTGGTCTTCACTGCCCCAGTCTGCTGAAGTCAGTTATTAACAATATTCTTATCATTATAATTAACACCCCGTGTGTTTAATAAATCTGTGTATCGTTAATGGCTAAATTATAGTTTTCAAAATTTGAAAAGAACGTCGATTAGGTCTAACCCTCACTATATAAAAAAAAGTTCGTTAAGCTTGTAAGAAAATAATCATTATATTCGTATATCTTTAATGTTCCGAAATGTTGTGATGACCTGCGTGCTATACAATTATGCAACCACGCCCTGCAGCTTCTCCAGCGCCTCAGCAACTATATGAACGATTTACAACCAAACTACACGTCACCAATGTTCACCCATTCTGATCCAAACAAAAGAAGTACAAATCTTCAAACAACACTAGCAAGATATCTGTAATCCACACCATCCACAGCCTGGGCACCACATCTCGTACTAGTGACGAGCTGAGACACCCTTCAGACAATACAATCGAACTTAGCAAACAACTTCTGAGTGACAGCAAACTTGAACCTTCAGCGACAGTCTGAGAAGTTTAGGCAGGAACATCTGGATGGTATTTAGCTTCGCTCTCGATTACCCCAAAAATTATAGACAATTAGCTTAAAAGACATGCCACAAAGTGTTTTAATTTCTAATTAATCATATACTCTGACAACACAAGGAACAGAATGGTATGCAAGTAATTTGGATTCAGATCTCACCGAGCCTTACAAGAACACGCTTAATATCAAGGCCAATCGTGTGACTTTCCTCTAGTACTAGAATTTAGATATTGAACTATCACAAATGTTCAAGTACTTCATTCCAGATGATACATTACCAGGAAATCTTAGCCAAACATCGCAAAATTTGGTACTGTTGAGTGTAAATAGTGCAGGTTTTCCATCACGCCTATAGGATAAGTGTAAAGCGCATAAGCTAATCAAATCTAATCACAAACGACTTGAGAATGGTCCAGGACGGACCGAAGCGTCGTCGTCCCTTCACTTTCTAGTGTATGTGGTTTGGTCAACATATTTCAGCCACGTTATTGTGAATCCTCGTCTGCAAGCTAATCAAATTATATGTAACTAGCTCACCGCAAATGTAAATTGCTTAGTTTAGAAACTCTTGTGGTCCAGTTCTTGGGCACATTGTTGAATCAGGCAAGAGAGGGGTGGGCAGACTGCATATTTTTGGATTGCTAGAAAACCTTTGACACAGTACCACACCAGAGACTAGTGCAAAGGCTGGAGATGCAGGCAGGAGTGAAAGGGAAGGTACTCCATTGGTTAAGGGAGTACTAAGTAACTAAGACAGCCAGTCACTGTGATGGGTGAGGCCTTAGACTGGCAAGGCATCACCAGTGGAGACCAGCAGGGTTCAGTTCTTGGAACTATACCATTTCTGACATATGTAAATGATATACCAGAGGGTATAGAATCATTCCTCTCATTATTTGCTGATGATGCAAAAATTATGAGGAGGATTAAGATAGAGGAAGATAGTATGAGGCTACAAGATGACCTAGACAGACTGAATGAATGGTCCAACAAATGGCTACTAAAGTTCAACCTGAGTAAATGAAAGCTCATGAAACTAGGCAGTGGAAACAGGCCAGACACAGGATACAGAATGGGAGATAAAGTCCTTCATGAAATGGACAGAGAAAGATCTAGGAGTTGATATCACACCAAACCTGTCCCCTGAAGCCCACATCAAATAGAAAAACATCTGCGGCATATGCAAAGTTGGCTAACATCAGAACTGCCTTCAGGAACCTGTACAAGGAATCATTAAGAACCTTGTATACCACATATGTAAGACCAATCCTGGAGCATGTGGCCCCAGCATGGAGCCCGTACCTTGTCAAGCACAAGACGAAACTTGAAAAAGTTCAGAGGAATGCCACTAGACTAGTCCCAGAACTAAGAGGCATGAGCTACGAGGACAGATTGCGTGAAATGCACCTCACTACACTGGAAGATAGAAGAGTAGAGGGAGACATGATCATTACCTACAAAATTCTCAGAGGAATTGAGAGGGTAGATAAAGATGAACTCTTTAGCACAGATGGTACACAAACAAGGGGACAGAGGTGGAAACTGAGTACCCAAATGAGCTACAGGGACATTAGAAAGAACTTTTTCAGTGTCAGAGTAGTTAACAGATGGGATGCATTAGGCAGTGATGTGGTGAAGGCTGACTAAATACACAGTTTCAAATGTAGATATGATAGAACCCAGTAGGCTCAGGAATCTGTACATCAGTTGACTAACAGTCGAGAGGCGGGACCAAAGAGCCAGAGCTCAACCCCCACAAGCACAACTAGGTGAGTACAGTACCCTCGTGTCAGTAAATGCCCAGGCCACCTACATGTGTTAGCTGGGTCAAGCCCGGATACTTCTCCTCTCTCTAAATTATATTCTCCAGTACTCACTGTGCAGCCGTTCACACAAGTCAATACAGTTTACATAAATCGAATTGACCTCTCAAATCACTGCCTTGGACCACCACTAGAACACTTAGCTTCATTTATAGCAACTAGTCATGTCCTTATTTACGTCTGCCATCTCTAACCTGCTTAAATGTATTACCTATTGTTTAACAATATGCTTTACTACTGCCTGGCTGCCATCCCAGGTTTACTGTTGGCTTTTTCAATACATGTATATGTTTTATATAACTTGTAGTTAGCCTTTATTTGCTGAAGTCCTTCAAATATTTATATAGTGGTCATCAGAGTTGCAAGGAAGTAATGAGAAAGGAAGCATCATTCTCAAGGTGCAACGAGGCAAGAGTGCTCGTGGTGCAAGTCTTGATTATGTATGGCACAAGGTGAGAGCCTCAGGTGGTGGATAGCTCATGTAAATGAAGAATAATGTCATAAGGTGTATGACATTTCAAAATTTGAATTCCAAATTCCATGGTTGGTTCATATACGTGCCCTCTTGCAGGAAATGAACTGGATATCTTAATACAGTACTGAAAAAATTATCTTTGATAGTAAAAACCTCCCAACCTCGGTACTTTTAGGACAACTCAGATGTTATACTGACAAGATAATCTCAGCCCCTTCAGAGTGCAATGCTTGTGGCAGTTTGGTCATGGTGCTTCAGTATATCAGAGTCTGCAAGTGTTTCAAGGCTATGAAAGTGAAACTAAATTAATGCAACTAGGCACTCGTCAAGAAGGAATCTTAATCGTGACCAAGGCTTGGGAAAGCCTTGGTCTTATAATCAACGGTGAAATTACGGGCTATTCAGACAATGCCTATGCCACCTATTAGGTGGCTTAATCTTCATCAATCAATCAACACTGAAAAAACTAAGGTCTTCAACAAATAAATTGGTAATCATAAATAACCTTCAAATAGGTTTTGTCTTCTCTTCAAATACTGTACTTTGGAATCACAGTCCCTTATACCTGAACAGTTAAAAAATTACATTAACAATGTAATGATAAATGGAAGACTTTCAGAACTGTAGTAGGTTACAGCTCTCAATACAGTGCAATATTAGATACCTAAAATTATGAACTTAGCACATATATAATATATAATGTGCCACGTCTGCGGTGTGCTAAGTATATAATATATATAATGTGCTTATAATGAGAGATATGATGATCAAACCACACACCAGAAGATGAGGAGACGACGTTTCGGTCTGTCTTCTTGGACTTTTATCAAGTCAATTGTCACAATCGACTTGATAATGGTCCAGGACGGACCGAAACGTTGTCATATCCTCATCTTCTGATGTGTGGTTTGGGCATTATAAATACATTCAAAATTTAAATTCAAACACTTTATTCATAAATGTTTGGACATTTAAAGTAGGGTTAGTTTACACAAATTTACAGTAAGTTATTTACTCAAGTCATAATATTAGCATAACATGTACAGTAATATCTATAATTATATATAGGGGGGTACCACCTCTGGTGCAATTATAGGGACCCACAGCCTCAGAGAAGGGAACACAGAGCATTCGGAGAAAAACTTGCCATTTAACTCTGAATATGTAAGAGTGTTCGCTTCTCCTACCACCCCCCTTTTTTTCTATAATTATATATTCAAGACTTAGAAACTACATTTACTAGTGATTAACTAGTGATAAACCATTACAATTGTCAAATTCAGAATTAGAAACTATGTCTATAAAAACTTGTACAAATCATTACAATAATGGCTGGACTAAACGGGTGTGTGTATTTTTGGAATAAAGTGAGCAATATTTAGCTTACAATTTGTAAGGTGATATATATTTTATATTGGAAAAAGAAAGTAGTTTGCCATCACATCAGTAAAATACATACTGGCACAATTCATATAACAAAATCAGGATGATGTGTAGAAAATTTAAAGAACCTAAACTAATCATCCTATTAAGTTATATAAAAATGTTCATATTCTCCATCAACAGATTCTTAGGTTACCCTGGATCAAAATCACTCCAACCACACGGTTCATACAACACACATGTTACTTCAGTAGGATTCAAAATGTCTGTTAGAAAGCCATCTTTTTGTAACAGTTCCTTCATAATTCCAAATATCCAGCTAGGGTATTCTCCCTGCTTTCTCTGCTGCATGGTTGTTTTGCTTTATACTGTAGACCTGCTACACCATTACATACATCACTCACTCTTAAGTTGTATTTCCTAACAATTAACTTGATATCTCTGGAAAAGTTGAAGTAGCCAGTGGCAAGTGTCTGTCTGGTTTAGGCAGTCAGTTTAGCAAACTGCTCATTAGCAAGAGTTCTTGCTGGTGGTCACTAATGAGGCCATGGGAGGGTTCAGAAAGGTTTTAGTATTTATGAATTGATCTCAGTTGATTATTCTGGCTTGGATTATCCAACCACTTAAGCTGGATGGTACAGCAATGATCTCGCTTCAGGCAGGTCAGCGTTCAATCCCCGACCGTCCAAGTGGTTGGACACCATTGCTTTTCCCTGTATCATCCCAAATCCTTATCCTGATCCCTTCCAAGTGCTATACAGTTGTAATGGCTTGGTGCTTTCCCTTGATAATTCCCTCCCCTCTGGCCTGGATTAAAAATCATGTGCATCCATACCTTTTTAAATTCATGAACTGCTTGGAAAGTATCATGTGGCGTCAGTGTTAGCACACCTGTACGTCAATCTGCTTGAACACAGAAATCACATTAACGTGACATATATGAGAAAATCAACTAAAGCTCTTAGGTGACTCTTAGATAGGTCAGGGTGGTACAGTGGTGGAGGTTGCGGCTGGCAGTTCATTGGTCGCTGGTCTGAGTTGCCCAAGAGCTCCAGTTGAGTTTCTCAATCTGCTTGAACGTGGCACCATCCTGTCCGAGAAAACATTGAGAACTTACTGTACCTTAGAAAAAATGAATGTATTAACTCAGAAAATAAAATTAATTGGAGTTTAAATGTACATGCTAATCCCCCCCTTACAATACCTGAAAAAATCACCAGCAAACATTGTGAAGAAAAGGGTCTTTCAATTTCATCAGACGGGTTTCTACAGATGCTTTTTTCAATTTGAACACTGCTCTTTCTGTAATGGCTTTTGCCCACAAACTGTTCCCTCAGACTTATCACTCTTTGGGAGCATTCTTCAGTGTTCTGCAGGATAACTTGGCAACCCTGAAGTTGTGGTTCCTGTTCAATAGCATTATACACATCCTGACATCAATGTTCACCTATTTTGTTCATTATTTAATACAGTAGTCAAGTATAGTTCAGATAAGAATCTGGTTACTGTGCTGTGAGGGAGTGAGACTTACATATGAAAAGTTTTATTCCTCTTACATCAGATCTGAAATTATTTGTTATAGTCAGAAAAAAGGACAAGAAGAAGTAAACTCAGGGTAAGATGAAGAGAACATAAAAAACAGGACTATAATTATCATCCACCATCTTTGAAGCAAAGCGGGGAATATCTAAGCAAGAAGTATGAATAAAACACTTGAATAAAATAATAATTTATTGGTCATTCACATTTTCTTTCCTGAAAAGAAAATTTCATCATTTTCTTATTTGAGTTGGTGGCTTTACAAGAATGTGCTAATCATTCACCAAATTTTGTACAAATACAACCCATTGTTCCTTTTTTGTATGTATATACATATACTCAGAGGCAGATTAAGGTAACCACAGTCCTCAAGTCTGGATTCTGGGTGAGCTCCCTTTTCAATTATTCAGGTACCATTTCTAAGCAATTTGTATACTAAAAATAGTGTGCCTCTAAGTTCATATGGTACATGGAGGCAGTCCCTGTGTGTTTAAGTGGTACATGTTGGCTAACTTGACTTGTCAGAGTTTTGTCTAACAGACTGTTGCTTGCAGCAGCCCACAGGCCCACATATCCAGTACAACCTGGTTGGCAAGGCACTTCTTGCAGGAAACTTAAATTTTTGCTTGTTCTTGTGTTCTGGCAATATTTCTTACGCTTGCTGTGAGGATACTCAACAGCTGTGGACCTCTAATATTTATACAGTATTCTCTGAGTGTGGCACCTATGGCACCTCTACTCTTCACTGGATCTATTCTGCATTTCCTGCCGTATCATTTCTTCCAGTACATTGTTATTTTACTGTGCAAAATTGAGACTTGATCTTCAAGTATTTTCCATGTAAATTTTATGAGATAACTCTCTCATCTCCTTTCGAAATACTACATTTGGAGAGCTTTGATATAATCCCAATTATTTAGGTGCTTTATCGTGTGTGTGTGTGAGTACCATGTATGTTCTCTGTATTTGCCCTATTTCAGCAATCTCTCTTGCTCTGAATGGGGAAGTGAGTATTGAGCAGTACTCAAGATGGGACAGTACAAGCGATTTGAAGAGAATGAGCATTGTGGCGGGATCCTTGAATTTGAGTATTCTCATAATCTATCCTATCATTATCTAGCTGACACTATATTTGCTTGATTATAATCCCTAAATGTCAGATCAACAGACTACCTTTCCTTGATGTACATTGAGTCAGAGCAGTTGTGTAAACTTTACTCTCAGGAAATTATGACTTTGCAAGTCAAAAATGTCACAAATGTCAATTTTGAATTTTCTCTTGATTATATCTCTACTCTACTACTATATCTTGTCAAATAATATAATGATGATTTAGAATTTATTTACACCCAATTGTGGTGAGCTCCCATGAACCCCAGGCCTAAGGCTTAAACAATTATAGGGCTACCCATCCTTGCACATACTGTATTATATGTAAATTTATACAGTATATGACTATATAAACACTGTATAAATATATTTGTGTATATATATATATATTTAAGTATACAAACACACTAAATAAATGTACTGTACAGTACTATACTTCAAAGGTTTTATAATAATAATTATTTTACATCCATGTTTAATTTTTTCAAAGCAGTAAACTTTACTAAATGCCACTTGTTTTGATTGTCAAATTCTAAAGGGAACTCTCACACTTATTTTATACAGTATTCATAGTCATATACAGTATATAAATTCCATAATTATTTCAATAAAGATATATTTTAACATATGTTAATGGGTATACCTGATTTATATTTCAAACTACTGCAATATGTTAAATTACTTTAATATTTCTAAAAAAGTCAAGTACAACAATGTTCAAAGGACAACAATGAACAGTACATGCAAGCAGCATAACATTCTTGAGAATTTACCAATATTCTTGGGGCTTGCATGCCCAAACAATAATACAGTATATTGCATAACAAAATCTATTTAATGATTTAATAGTTTGAAAATAATAAAAAATTAGTCAACTTACACGTTACGAAGGTGATTCTCTATCTTCGATTTGTGCCTCATCCCAAGGTCCATATATATTTCTGGTAGAATAAAAAAAAAGACTATACTGGCATGTGAATGTTGCATGATTAGTAGTGAAATACATTAATGCACTATCTTAAAAGCATACTCCTTTACACAATGCTTGTAAAAATAATGATTAGTGCTACTACCTAGTTAGTGCTGAACAAGTAAGCCTCTTTTCTGTATCCTTGACACCCTTAGCTACCATAGAACTTTTCTTTGGGATGTAACAAAAAATACACACCATCTGATATCTAAAAAAATATAAAAAATTCTCAAACTTTAAAATATACAAGTCAAGCTTGACTGTATAGCGTATGGGTTCTTCTTGTCTCATTTCTGTTCTTGAGGCCTAATGCACAATGCTTTTGCATTTGCAAAAGTGTAAAGGCAACAATATTGATTAAGGCAGTATTAAGTAAATCAGGTATGACTGCTTGTTAAATTAGAGATGTAGTAACCAATTTTCATAATAACAAAAAATCATCATTACCCCACTTCTCACTTTCATATGATGGGGAGGCATCAGCCTGGAGAAGAAACTTGCGTTTTCACAATATCATTAGCACTACATAGCCTCACAGAGAAAAAAAATCACATTCAAGAAAATGATCCATACCAGCATCCCATCGCTTCATAAGATGACGCTTACAGTGCTCCTTTTCAGTTGTGCTACACAGTACAAGCACATTAACTCTTCTCATCTCTACTTCTTTCAATGATGTTTTAATTATTTATTCTATTTATTTTCCTAATACCAAGTGTGTTTCTAAGATTCTAAATTTATACCCCATTAATACTAGAGCAGCATCTCACATCCATACATATTGGTTGGCACCACCAATCATTCATACAGTCCTCTGACTACTGTATATCTTATCAAATTATATTTTTTTTAACCAAGTCGTTTATTTTCATTCCCACACTCTTTACTCTCAACTTCATGTGTACAAAAAATAGAAGTAGTTGCACATTTCCAATTAATTAAGAATAATAAAGGTAACAGAAATTAAGATCACAGGACCAACAGATACACACACAATCATACACAATTAATGCATTATTATGAGTATACTGTTACAAGCATACAACAGCAGACAGAGCAAATGAAGATAACTACCAGCGAAAGGACAGTTCCTCTTTTTACTGGCACAATAATTCTTGCTACCCTTGTTATTTTACTTAGTACATAATAAGCATTTCAGTACCTAGTGTAAATCCTTAGAACACCTCTCCATTTCCTTCATTTATAATACACGTTATATTTATAATAAAAAATATTAACAAGAGTTATTGTTCATATTTTCATGCACTGTACTTCCAGGTATTGTACAGAACTAAAGACATTTTACATTTAATCTGCTACAGCAATACTGTATATTTGAGAATACAGTAATATACTTACTGTTTATAACTCTGGAAGTAGACAAAAAGAGCTGGTACGAAAAAGTTACAAATTAACAACGCTAAAACGAAGACGAGATGGAGGTGTGGAGCGAAGAGAAGAGTGCCAATGGTGGTAAATAGCACCACTGCTATAGTTGTTAGAAGGTCACAACCTCTCCCAAGGTGATCCTGTAAAGCATTATTCATTCTTAGAACACTACACTACACACAGAATTTGTTCATTCACCCTTAGTTTCAGACAAGAAAAATATTGCTAAGAACACTCCTCATGTACAAGCAAACACCCAGATTTCCAGCAAATATTGCTATATACTGTAATTGATTTTTAAAGCATCTGAAATTAGCCTATTTTTCCCATAACTGTACTGTACTTAATTATACCATACTTCAGCCTTAACAGGCAAGTCTAATACAAGTTCCATGTCATATCATAAAAACATAATAATGAAGATAATAGTATTATACTATATGTAGAAAAATACTTTCGAAGATTAAAAACAAGCCAAATAAAATTTGGAAACTAAAAACTTCATGGTAAAATGCATTATTAACATGGAGAATGGAGAACTCGTCAATGCTGCATACAGTGCAATGTCTTAACTCTGAACAGCCGAATAACAAATACAGCGAGACTTGTTTATTAGAATATAGGATTAAATGCATGCTAGGGAATGTATGTTTGTTAGTTTAGTCATTTAATATGCACCACATGCCCATCCCATGGGCAGTGGTGGAAAGGGTTACAAAAGACCACAATGGGTTTAGGAACTGAACCCCATAATTCATTTAGCTAAGCAAGTAATTATTTTGTGAAGCTAGTTACACAATTTTCTTATTCTTCTACACACATACATGTACATACAGTATATCAATAATCTTTTTACATCACAAGTGATTCAAGAAGTGGCCTACAACAGTCTCTAATACACAGTTTACATCTGCGGTGAGTCAGTTACACACCAACTAATCCTGCCCCAGACCCAAAACAAAAAACCAGCGTTGAATGTAATGAAACACCATTTTCTGGGTGAGTCCCGGAGGCTCCCTGGAGCTTACCAGGCTGATATGCAAGTATTAGACCATGGCAACAGTTCTTCGGATGGAGTTCTAATTCTGGGAGACCCTAGCCCTGGAACAATGAAGAAGGGAAACTGGGTCAACAAAAATTGTATCCACGAACACTGAGGCCGTGAAGCGCAAGTAACACCGAAAAACCGCAACCAGACAACACATGATGCGCCGAACCAACCAAGCATCAACAACCCAAGAACCCCCCCGGAAAGCAGCTGCCCAACCTTTGCCAGAAAAGGAGGAGATGGCCGCAAACGTACACACCTACAACTAGGACTGAAAGAGCAGAAACCCCCCCATGCCGGAGAAGAACAAGAAGCACCCCCTCACCCGACCCCCAGAGGCCAAAGCCAACAAGAAAAGAACCTAAGCAAAACAAACCTGAACCGAAGGGGCCACCACAAACCGAGGAGATGAAGGAAAGGAAACACCCAATCCAATGAACATGATGGCTCAGGCGGTGCATGAGCAGGCCGGAGGTTGAACAACGCACGAAAAATCTTGTGGAACAGAGCAAAAGAGACACCCACCCCGAACACAAGCCGAAGCGGCCCACGAGCTCCGCACGATCTGAGAAGACAATATTTGGCATAAAATGACAGTCCTGAAACCCAGGAGCCAGATTCACGAAGCAGTTATGCAAGCACCTACGAATCTGTGCATCTTTTCTCAATCTTTGGCGGCTTTGTTGACAATTATTTAATGAGCCAGGAGGCTGTTTATAACAATACAAACATGAACACTTCCCGATCAACTGTTGTTAAACAGTTTAATAAACGTAACCAAAGCCATCTAAAGATTGAGGAAAGATGTACACGTTCGTAAGTACTTGCTTAACTGCTTCGTGAATTTGGCCCCAGCCGGAGAGAGAGACAGCATGCCCCCTTGTGTGCGCAGCGTTTCAGGCGATCAAGCGGCAACACTGAAAAGTGTTTACTCTTTTCACTGTTCTGACCTTAATTTTTTATGTACATATTTCATTTTTGTAGCAATGTGTTCACAATAGAATGTTCTAGAAGAACATAAGTATAAAATGTCACCAAAGCATGAGTTAGACCAGCATCAAATAAAGAACTACGTCGATCACTAGCCGTGAGCGCCAAACAGCGACGAAATGTTTCTACTCTTTTTAAGTTTATCAAGTTTAGACTTGTTGTAAACCGATTTTATTTGGGGAGAACGGGAATTTCGTGGCGTGTATTTTGAAACTATTCCCAAGTCGATCGGATAAAAAATGGATTTTATAGAAATATTTTTTCTCATGACTCATGAGCGTGTCAGTTACGCGGTTTCAAGAGAAAAATTGGTGGCGCTCTAGAGCAGCACGAACGTGCGAAAGTGATAATTATTAACACTTTCACACTAGAACAGACATAGAACAGAATAGAACTTCACGCTAGTAGCTAGAACAGCAATTGGCAGTACCAATACTGTAATTCTAATTGCAGTGTCCTGACTGGATCTTAACTGGTGGTTTGGGGAGCAACTAAAGGGGAGGGGAAGTCTTGTTCAGAAATGAAAAAGGCACTATTGAAATACATTTTTCAATTGCAATAGCATCCACATATTTTTGTATACAAACTTACATACTTTAAAGTTGAAGGTACAGTACAGTAGTATGATGAGGCACCCTTAAGGGGCCCGGTGACTGAAGAGACTTTTCCAAATATGAAATACAGTGAAAATTTTTAAACAAATCTCCTGTTATTTGGCATCAGTGTCATGAAAATTTCCTCCCATTATGTTAAGCAATGGATTTTTTTTTACAAATTTAAAAAAAATAAATGCATGCGCGATGGGCAGCAACCGGTACTGATAATAACGATAACACCACCTATTTACTGGCAATCAGTGATAAAGAGATGGAAGCACCTGTTCGACACACAAAGAAGAAAAGTAGTAAGAAGGGTATACAAAGTGGATATGCAGCTGGTGCCACCTGGAGGGCCAGATTTCACACATAATAATGAGTTAGTATGTTAATATGCTGTTTTTTATTATATATCATATAAATACATTGCCCAATGGCAACATTTCTTATATCCCTTTGTATGAAAAGCTGATAATCACTTTTTTGTGTGTGTTTTTTCTCTCCTTTGTTTCTATGTGGATTTTGTTGTAACTTCTACATCTTGGAGAATGCATATCCGGCACTAAGCATGTGAAGTTAGAACGAAATTGGTCAACATGTTAATTAGTTAATTAATCAGCCACAGGTGGCAGAAGTTATGACATTTTTTTTGGCCAATTTATTTACAGATTTTAAACTATTCTCTTTGTCTATTTAGGTTATATTGATGAATGAGCACTATATGAGTGCCTTATCACTTATATATATATGGGCAATAAAGTTACTGCAATATGTATGTTTCATATAAGAACATAAGAATGAAGATAACTGCAGAAGGCCTAGTGGCCCTTACGAGGCAGCTCTTATTTATATCCACCCAATCTCATTCATATACATGTCCAATCTACTGTTAGACATATAAAGGGCCCAGTGTGTTTTACAGTTATCCCTAACATATCCCTGTTTATTTTTTTTTTGGGGGGGGGGGTATTTTTTTCTTGACTTCATTTCAAAACATATTGACCAACAACTTTCACATATTCGAGTATGAATGCCGAGTAATCTTAATTAAAACTTACAAGACATGTCATAAATTCGAAGTACTGTACTATATACATAATCGTGAACTTTAACTTCATTTTTCTCTATGAACAGAATTTTCAACTTTGAGACACTGCCAAAAATTCAGTTTCTGACCGATTCTCACCATTTTTAAATATTATGTGCAAAGTTCTTCACTCTAAGGTGTTGTTATTGTCATTTAGTCATAAAGCCATAACGTTTGGAGTTATAATTTTTGGGGGTCTAAATTTTTCCCATATTTGGATGGCAACATTGAAAGAATGTTTTACAGTAAACTATACTCTCATATTTTGTCTCATATTAACTCTCTATTAACTATACTCTCATATTAACTATTCTCTCATTATATATTCATATAATATATTGATACACGAAACATGAACGTTGTATGTCATTCTGAGACCATAATGATTAAAATAACAATTGATTACATATTAATATTTTGACACCAAATTTGAAACTGTGAATTTTTGTTCTATTTTATTTTTTAACTTTTTCTGTTCATGGTATGATGTTGATCCGTTAGGAAAAGTTAGAGCATTTACCATGAAGATATTACTAAAAAAAATGGAGTGTGTTTGAGGAAATTTCAGTGCACCATCACCAGGCCACTTAAATGATGAGGCATCCTTAAGATAATGAATGCAAACTTGGTAAAGAGAAAATAAACCTGACAAAATCACAAGGCATTCCTAATGGGACTACCTAAATAATACAGCATGTAAGAGACTATATTAACAGGTGATACTGCATGTTACACAGACATCAACAGCAATATTAAATACGCAGCTGTTCAAAATACACATTTTGTGATAGGTAAAACGCTGACTTACCCGGCAGTATCGTCTGAAGCTCGGAAAAAGAGCAAAGAGTGCTACAGCTACTGTCATTAGAGTAAAGACATCGCGGTCATTATCCAGTCTGGAAGCCAAGCAAACTGATGCAAACACTCCAACGTTGTGCGAGACAGTCGGATTAACACTATTAGAAAAACAGAAATATTGTACACAATATAAAAATAGAGAATTCAGCTTAGTGAAATGTTAATTTTTTAGCATGGTTCTCATATGCTCTCAAACCCAGCAACAGTATGATCTACCTATGACTCAAATCACATGTTAGGCTCTAGTTACTCTTCTTCCCACTATGATAGGTATCCTTGAAAGTAGTCCTCTCACATATCTAAGGAAAGGTGACAATAACGAGTCTAACTCAAACCCCCATTGAGAGTACTTGCTCACTATGATACAAAGAAAAGAATCATAGCTCAAACTCTTCTTGCAAGCATAAATTAGAGTACCAAGACTGCTAATTATTACTACGAAGACTACTCAGAAATCCACAAGAGCCGTGATGAGGATTCGAACCTATACACTGGGTATTCTCAGATGCACGCTCTTGATGACTACACCATGACATGGTTGTGGAGTAGACACGTAGACACCAAGACAACATGGTGGATCAACCATGTTGTGGCACAGTCATCAAAAGTGTGCATCTGGGAACACCCAATGCATAGGTTTCAATCCTCATCACAGCTCCTGTGGATTTTCTCACCTATATATCACAATAATGTAAATTCTGTCTTGCACATTACATCACCGAATGCCCAGTTATCAGACCATTCAGACCCGTTGGCACAAAGTGCCTTGAGCTTTGCAATTATTTTATTCACTCTTGTGTTCTTGAGGCTATCCTCATAATGCACCCAAAATTTGCCAGTGCAGGCTACTGAACATATGGCCCTGTATGACCAACCATCCTGTGAGATGGGGACTTTTAGTATCACTGCATCCTTATTCACTTTTGTGTTCATGATGATATCCTCGTAATGCACCTCAGTTTGCCAGTGCCGCCTACTTATTCACATGCCTTTGTATGATTAACCATCCTGTGTGATGGGGATTATAGCATCACGTAGCTATTTTCTTACACACTGTATGCCCCTTCATATAATCTAGGGTAGCTGCACAAATGCAGATGTACCTAAATGTGATAATAAAAAAAAAATTCTCTGTATATGAAAACTACTGTTAGTAGTCCACATGTTATAATACCAGGTACCTATTTGCTGCTAGGTAAAACAGAGGCAACAAAAGTCAGTGTGTGAACAGTGTCTTAAGTAGACCTCCCCTGGCCCTGGCTGGGAAAACAAGTGGGGCCATGCTATGAAAACTGCTTAAATACAATAGAAAATATTGAAAATTAGTAAGGAAAATTATATATTCAAAATTATTTAGTTGGTGTTATACAGTATATAACTCTGTATATGGTACTGACATCTTATTAATGCACTACTCAAGTGAATATCAATCTCAATTTGTAAATCTTCAATGTAATCTGTATACAATTCAGCACCTTTTCCAGTACATAATTTTAAACAATACTTTACTACACTGAGAAAACTAATGATTTACAAATTATACACTTTATCTTTCAGAATACAAAAACTTAATTTTTCTACTTACATAGCAACTGCTGTCCCATAATCATGAACTATAAGTCGTAAAAACAGCAGAAAGGTTGTGCAGGCATTTATGGAGTCCGTGGCAACACTTCCTGTCAAGGTCTTGACCACAGGAGAAGCACATGCGATCAAAACTACATAGAAACATGCCACCTTAAAGTCATCCTTAACTGAAACATTTAAAAATTCTGTTAATTTCACATTATTTTCTGTAGGCACGTTGAGATACTGTATGGTATTATTATGATATACATGCATTTTAGGAGTATAATCTTATATCTACATCATATGAGAAGGAAAGGTGATTATGAGATGGAAGCACTAAGCTAGTATGACTACACAACGCGTGGAATGAATATGAAGACTGGAGATGAGATGTGAGGAAAGAGTGATGGCATGGTGTCCAGACATGTGGACCATTGCTTTTAACAACAGTCCTGTGAGAGGCAAGAGGGCGCCACTCAAAATCAATCTAAGCAAATGGATTCACATGAGCAGGATGTAACTGAATAGTGTTGTGAAAAGCTAATGAAACACTGTATGGAGATAGCTGCAAACATCATCCTGCTAGATACAGTAATGACAAACTGAGATATATCAAGGTACTGTATAAATTTTCACTGCATAAGGATTAATAAGTGATTACCCAGCTCTGGTAGGGTATACAAAATGTTATGGGTTATGTGAGCAAAGTGATGTTTGTCACTAGGCCCATGCTTAAGCCAATCCTTGTATATGATAATGACATATTTTATATGATCAGATTACTATACTGGGTACAGTATGTGAAATATTTGAGAGGGCTAATGACATATTAACAAAAATTCAGCAATGATTTATTTGTTTTGCAACATTAATGAAAAGCGTGTGAAGATACAATTTACTAAATACCCTTTATTTTATGCATTTTGTTAACGTACAATTTGTGACTTGAGAGTCCTTACCTGAGGCAGCAAGCTGGGCTCTTGTCATAACATAACCAATAACACTTAGAGAAGCTGTCAGTGCCAACACAACTGAAGCATTCAGGTTACCTTCTGATATACCAAAGAATATCACCACCAAACCAACACAGCTGCAAAATGTATATATTAGCATTTAATGGATTATTTAGATAACTGCTAACCACGATGATAAGTAATTATAAAAAGAAAGCACCAAGCAGGATAAACTATTTAGCACTGTCACAGGATATTCAAAATGTCATACATATCACCCAGAAAGCCACTGCGAGAGCACAAAAGACAAAAAAACAAGGATAAAGAACATAAAAAGAGTAAAATTCAAGAAAAAAATGATCAATCTCAGCTTAATGTTGCTATGGTCAAGAACTAAAAGTTACGAATGAATTTAAATAACTAGAAGCTTCTTAAATAACATATTAAGCAAACTCATATACAGATTGTGCCTTTAAGTAGTAACCAAATACTAATGAGACGAGTCTCGCTTAAATAGAACTTGGTCTACCGATAGTTCAGATGTAATGGAAGGAGTTTGTTTTGGCCATAAGATTGTTTCAATCAGTTACAATGGGAAATAATGGAAAATTTAGCCTGAAGCATCTGCAAGAACTGGAATCAATACTGAAAGATGCACTGTGAAAATAATTAACCAAGATATTACTTCTAATTTGAATATGTACTGTACAATATTGCAAGTGTTTTTGGTACAATATAAAAAATATGAATAAAAGCATATTCAATCATTTGCACTAATTAAACCATTATAACTTTGGACATAAAACTGCAACATTTGAAATTTAACGAAAGTTCTCTAGCTGTGGAATGGGCCGAGAATAAATTTGTATGCGCAAGTAACACTCCATTGTACAAGCATTTAATTTGTACAGTATTCTTAACAAAATACAGAAGAACCTCAAATGACGAGTGGCTCCAGTTACGAGCAAGTCACTCGCAGAAAATGTCTTGACTGACAAGCTTTCCCTCGATTAACGAGCGTTCCCACTGGTTCTCGGACACCTCCGACAACAGTTTTGTTGTTTCACAAGACGCGTTTTCCACATGAGGAAAATGATTAAACTCGTTAATCAAGGCGCTACTGTATTGTGGGGCTTCTAAGACATGGATACATCAATTTAATAACCTGCTTAGTATGACATTAATTAGAAGAAATGGATATAGTTACTAAAGGAAAGCATTAATGAAAATACGATACAATATACTGTATAATGGACAAAGTTTATACTGTCTTTTTAAGATAATTTGGGTATGTGCTAGAGAATAAACTAATCAAATATAAAGTCCTATTTGTTCATGTTATTAAGAATGAATACTTTTTTAACTGGTAGGGATCAAGAAATGTGTCGATGAAGGATATAGAATCAAGAGGATGTTGACCAATCCACACACTTGAAAATGAAGGGACAACGACGTTTCGGTCCATCCTGGACCATTCTCAAGTCGATTTTGAGAATGGTCACAATCAACTTGAGAATGGTCCAGGACGGACCGAAATGTCGTCGTCCCTTCATTTTCTAGTGTTTGGATTGGTCAACATACTTCAGCCACGTTATTGTGACTCATCGCCCGAATCAAGAGGATATTTTACAAGTCTTTCCCAGCTTTCCCAGTTTACCACCTCTATCTACCTGTTGTTGATTTTGGGAATCAGGGGTCCCTGCGACCTGGTTTCTGATCATGCCTCCTGGTTGGTCTCACATAAACTACCTTCCCTCTTTCCTCTCCTGGGTCAGATCCTCTTGACTTCTCTGATTAATCTTTGTATTTAACCTTTATAGCAACACAGAGTAGCCCCCCCATCCTGGTCTAGCTCTTCAAACATTTACACTGCTCCACTAAAGTTCCGAATTTTTTTTTATACGTTACAGAGGACTTTAATATAACACAGTTTTAACATAATATGGTTTTCATTTTGTAACCAAAAATTTAAATTACTTGCACTCGCTGCATATTTCCACGTTCACGCCAGTAAAAAGAACCAAGGATTTGGCTTCCTTCTAAGTTCACACAAACCCACCTACTCTCACACATGCACATTATTTTAATGAAGGTACCCCTGTAATGTGTAACACTGTCATGTCTTGGAACCTAACCCCATTTTTCCCCAAGTGATATTCATTTTATAGTTCATTATATCAAGTTTCTTGGAGGGCTTCCCTCAGTGGCTACTGTACCTACTTTATTAGCTTCAAGCCTGAAGTACCTCACCAGGCCTTTTGATTTGTGAATGCCTACCAAGGTCCAGAACCAGAACCTACCTCTTAAATATAGTCTAGATATGTATCTCATTCAAGGTAGCTGGTGAATAAGGACATTTTAATTACCATAACTGGCTCAACATTTTCTGTAATACAATACTGTACCGAGTTTCTATTGAATACTATTCACAGTATAGCATATCCAGTTAAAGTACAGTATTATCAATTCTAAGTGGATAAAAATTAATAGGCCTACAGGCTTTTTTTTATACAAATACAATATTTAAATGTAAAAATATATATTTTTTACATTAAATCTTTAGTTTAACTTAATTCATAATGAGTAATGTGCAGTGTTGCATAATGAACTAAGAGACTGGGCCTACATCATATTTTACCTGCATATTTCCTGTGTGACAGCTGTTGCACCGTATAATGTCTCGGATAAAGACAGTTTTTTACCTGTAACACAGAAGTGAAAGCATATCATCCACTATAAATTTAATACCATTGTAACATACTCTTAAATTTATGTACAAATTGCAATACATTAATTTAATTGGTAACTATCAGGAAAATTTGTCTTGAGTGATGTGCTCAAGAAAAACCTGAGCACATCACTCATACAACTCATTCTACTTAATTGCTCACATTTTTTGCTGACTCTAAGAAAAGAGTCTCCAACATAATTATCCGGGAAGGGCTGCTTCTTCCAAAGCACTCTCCGCCACCCCATTTTTTATACAACACATGTAGATTGAGTGAAGGTTATTTCTCCTGATGACTGCAGGAGTTGTGTGAAGTGGTGGTGTCTTGGAGACCACGAGGGAAACTTGGTGTGATGGGTGTTATCTTGAGATATGTGTAGACTTCTTGTTTATTATGCGTTTAGTTCTTGCGAATGTTTTTCTCAAGCCGATTGCACAAGCATGTGGTTGGTTGACACTAATGATTGGTTGGTTGATGGTAATTTAGTGGCTACAATGGTGATGGACCACATGAGCCACACCGTTGACAGAAAACAATAATGACTTGCGATAAATTGACAAATTTCTGACAACTTCTGGTTCTTCTTGATGGTATGTGCAGTTTGCATGAACGTCTGGTTACACTTGGAGAGGTAAGGTAATTATCAGGAGAAAGCACAATGGCATTACGACCATATAGTACTCTGAAGGAATACTATGCTTGGAGAGGAAAGCAATGGACCCCGAACAGACGATCAACTGAAAGACTATCGACACTCAGTGACCCAACTAGATATTAACGCCAGGTGTTCTCTTGAACCCAGAGAAGTCGAACAGAATTCTTTGCCAAACAGTGAAAATCCAAGTTCAGTTGCTCTAAAATTCAGAAATCTTCCCGATGACTCTAGGCCGAGCAAACACTCTTAACAACTCTTCGCCCAGCGTCTTAACAATATGGGCTGTTGAAGACGTGTGTATTACACCAATATCAGAACTTGACGCGCGGAAATTTAGCTTTTTCTTGATGACGACGACGACCCAGGGAGTGGAACGTCTTCTTCTTCTTCTTGATAGTAGGTGCAGTTTGCAAAGTGAAACGCAAACCTTCTGTTGTTGGTGTGACGGCGTCGGACCCTCCCTTCAACTACCAAGACATCGTTTACATTTTCTTTGTGTTACACTTGGGGAAACTTAAATATAATTCATACCTTATTTATTTGATTTACCTGTGGGCCAATAACCCTAGTGGGTTTGACAAGGACAGGAAGCCTGCGGCTTGTCGAAGGTCACTCAATTTGCCTTGATGATCTTTTCCAGGTATATTTTGAAATTCAGCTAAATTTTGGCATGTACGGCTTCAGCGGGTAGGTAGTTCCATAAGTTTATAACCCTGTGGGTGAAAAAAACATCTTCTGTTCTCAATCCTATATTGTGGCTTAAAACCGTTGCTACTTATTTGTGTTACATCTAACCTTCTGAAGAAAATATCCGGATCAACACCCTCTAACTCCAACAACCCCAGACAGCATTCGGTACCCTTACTCAAATCTCTGAACATGTTAGATATTAAGTCACTGCACATCCTCTCATGTGTACTCTATATATTTAAAACTCTGATTTGTAATGTCAATCCTGACCTTAAAAGCTTCTTAGAAGGTTGTAACAGAGCCCCATGGGCACCACACCAGAAACAAATTGTCTCCGTGGTGTAGTGGTAAGACACTCGCCTGGCATTCCGCGAGCGCTATGTCATGGGTTTGGGTAAATATCATTTACCTGGCCGGGGAGGATTTACTGGGCGCAATTCCTTAACTGTAGCCTCTGTTTAACGCAACAGTAAAATGTGTACTTGGATGAAAAAACGATTCTTCACGACAGGGGATCGTATTCCAGGGACCTGCCCGAAACGCTACGCGTACTAGTGGCTGTACAAGAATGTAACAACTCTTGTATATATCTAAAAAAAAAATGATATTCCAAGAGTACGACTTAATCAAACTAGAAATGCTCTACAAATCAAGGGACGCAGAATGTGGAATGACCTTTCCAATCATGTCAAAGGCTGTACCTCTCTCAACCAGTTTAACTACCTGGTTAGCTAAGTACTACCTAATTAACTCCATGTAACATACCTTACCCCTAAATGTCAACCCATGTCTTACTATTTTTTAAACAATGCTTATTCATTAGTACATTAAACAGGGTGGGTCTCAACACTCCTCCCTGAGGTGTGCCGAGTTCAAAGGATCTCACACCTGACATACAACCTTGATACCAAAAACAATCTACATGTCTACAATCTACTACAATCTTGATAAAGTAAGAACTAGCTTATCAAGAATGGAACTTGCTTAGGTAAATTGAACGAATTTGGGGGCTCAGTCCCCAAGTCCATTATGTGCCTCTGAAACCTACTATGTAAAAACACAACATAAAAAACATAAAAAAACTGTTGTCATTGAAAAAATGAGGTAATCACTTCGTAAAAAATAAATAGTCAATGTAAAACGGAGCACAATAAAATATAAATCACTGCGAGTATCTCTTCCTCATACTGTTAAGCCAGGTGCTGAGGGCTTTAGTGGATTTCCTGTGTCCACGTTTTGGTTTCATGAAAAAGGCGTGGAAGTCGGCGTAGGGCACAGAGCCGGGGATGTCGTCGCCCAAGTAATGGTTCCAGCACTCGTAATAACGATTGATGCTTGCAACATCTATACGAGCAAAGCCTTCACCTATTCCCGGTTTCCCAGGAAACTTCCTTTTGACACTTACAGTGGACCCAAACTTGCTGCCCTTGCTGAAGGCATCGCTGGCATAATGCATGGTGCTGGTGTATTGATAAGGAAGACCCAGCGTCCTCAGGAACGCTGCATTACCGGAGTCCTTGAAGAAATTATGTTGTTTCTTGTTTAAAATATTTGTATAATTGACAGTCACGTAATCATCACGATCTGCTCTGCACTGGTGATGCAGGAAGCCAACAGCGTGGGTCAGCTCATGTAAGATTACGCTTATGGAGTAGAAGCAACTCCTATCGAGGTTTAGATCTTGAAAGCCGCGCTTCTTTTTCTGGCATCCAAAGCTTGAAGAACATATACCTTTCTTACGAGAGGTGATCCTCAAGTAGTACTTGCGCGGGTCAGTCGAGTTGATGAATCTAAGACACGTTAATTTATTGAAAATGGCAATCCCTTCATGCACCATCTTCTTTTTCAGAGGGGGATGTTTTTTGTCTATCATTACCCGGATCACGTGGCCTGGCCAACGTTTTTTGAGATAATGTTGCATAAATTTGTTTTCTACTTGTTTCTGTTTTTTTTTCTTCGCTTCTGCTCTCTTTTTCTTTTCCTGTTCTCTATCTGATCGTTCGTCACTGAGGGGCTTGAGGTCGTCCTGGAGGCGGCTGTCCTGGAGGCGGTCGTCCTGGAGGCGGCCGTCCTGGAGGCGGTCGTCCTGGAGGCGGCCGTCCTGGAGGCGGCCGTCCTGCAGGCGGTCGTCCTGGAGGCGGTCGTCCTGGAGGCGGTCGTCCTGGAGGCGGCCGTCCTGGGTGTGGTCCATCAAGACGAGGGAGGAGCCGCCTGCAGGAGCGGCTGTCCCGAGACCAACCAACACTGCCGCCCAGGCGACCACCACCAACTTGTTCACCAACATCGCAAATTTATGCATATAAATCATATGCAATAAATAATTATAAATTATTAAAATAACCAAATTTGGTAAACTTTTCAGATTAAAATTGAAATGACAGATAATTATAGATTAAACTGGAGGTAACAAGAGTCACAAGGCGCAGTGCTCGTCGACGTCGACAGCACAGAATTTCAGGGTTCGAGTCTCATTGCAGGACAGAGATGTTTGGACAACGTTTTCTTTCACGTATCAGTAAATATGGTACGCGGGAGTTAGGTAACTGTTGTGGCTTGCATCCTGGATAACGATACACAAGAAGGACAAAGTTGAGGCTCCAGCACAGCTGCTCGAGCAACTGCAGAGTTCTTCAACTACACGCCGACCTGCATGAAGCGAGAACATCGCTCTACCGTCCAGGCCAAGCGGAAGTGCGAGAAGGAGAGGGAAGATGGCGACAGGTAGAAAGGTGTAGGGTAGTGAAGGTGATGGAAAGTAATGAAGAGTAAGGAAGCTGACGAAGGAGAGGAAAGGTAGTGACGATGATGACTGGGATTGGGATATCTAGAGGGTAAATTGGTTATAGTGATGATGGCTAAAGGACAGCACGTAGTGAAGACGATTAAAGTAATGAGGTAGGTCGTGTGTAGAAGAAGTGTAGAAGGTTGTTTGTAGTGAAGATGGTTACGATGATAATGAAAAATGTGGCCTTAATCGTGCTGCGCCGGGCACCACCCTCTAGTAGCATAACCAATGGAACCACCTACCCGCCGAAGTTGTAAGTGCAAATTTAATGCATTCAACTAAAATTTTAAATTGACTAATTAAATGCTCCATTTTCAAGTCCAAATAAAAAAAATCCTTAGGGACAACTGAGGGATCTCTGACAAGCCACAGGCTTCCTGTCCCCGTCGAGGCCACTAAGGACGGGTTAAATTCAGGCAATATTTACGGCAAAAATAACACACAGTACCAATTCAACATTATCGACAGTGACGTCGCTGAACTGATAACAGCCTAAAAAAAAGTGTTAGCCTAGTGGGGGGGGGGGGGATATAATTCTGATAAATGCTTCGTCATCTACTATGATATTTAGATGTAAAAAAAAAACTCAGTTTCTGTTTTCATTGAAGTAAATGAGGTAATCACTTCGTAAAAAAAGAAATAGTCAATGTAAAACGGATCACAATAAAATATAAATCACTGCGAGTATTTATTCCTCATACGGTATATCCAGGTTCTGAGGGCTTCAGTGGATTTCCTGCGTCTACGTTTTGGTCTCATGAAAAAAGCGTGGAAGTCGGCGTAGGGCACAGAGCCGGGGATGTCGTCGCCCAAGTAATAGTCCCAGCACTCGTAATAACGATTGATGCTTGCAACATCTATACGGGCAAAGCCATTACCTTTTCCCGGTTCCCCAGGAAAGTTCCTGTTGAGTGTTATAGTGGATCCAAACTCGCTGCCCTTGGTGAAGGCATAGATGGAATAATGCATGACGCTGTTGTATTGATAGGGAAGACCCAGTGTACTCAGGTAGTCTGCCTTACCCGTGACCTTGGTGAAACTACGGGTTTTTCCTTTCCCAATATTTGTAAAATTGATAGTCACATACTCATCACGATCTACTCTAGACTGGTGATGATTGAAACCAAGGCCGTGGGACAGCTCATGTAAGATTACGCTTATGGAGTAAAAGCAACCAGGAGAGAAGTTTGCATCTTGAAAGCCGCGGTCCTGGTTCTGGAATCCAAGGTGTGCAAAACACCCATCTTTACTTCTAGAGGTGATCCTCAAGTAGTACTCGTCCGTGTCAGTCGTGTTGTAGAAATAAAGACACGTTAATTTATTGAACATGGCAATCCCTTCATGCACCATCTCCTCTTTCAGAGGGGGACGTTCTTTGTCTATCATAACCGGGATCACATTTTCTGGCCAGCGTTTTTTGAGATACCGTGCCATGTATCGTTTTTCTTTTTCTCCTTGCGTTTTTTTCCTCTTTTTTGCTTCTTTTTCGTTTGATCGTTCGTCACTGAGGGGCTTGAGGTTGTCTCTGGAAAAGCTCTCCTGTAGGCGGTCGTCCAGAGGGAGGGTGTCCTGGAAACGGGCGTCCTGGATGCGGGCGTCCTGGAGGCGGCCGTCCTGGAGGCGGCCGTCCTGGTGGCGGCTGTCCTGGAGGCGGCTGTCCTGCGTGTGGTCCATCAAGACGAGGGAGGAGCCGCCTGCAGGAGCGGCTGTCCCGAGACCAACCAACACTGCCGCCCAGGTGACCACCACCAACTTGTTCACCAACATCGCAAATTTATGCATATAAATCATATGCAATAAATATTTATATAATTTAAAATAACCAAATTTGGTAAGCTTTTCAGATTAAAATTGAAATGACAGATAATTATAGATTAAACTGGAGGTAACAAGAGTCTCAAGGCGCAGTGCTCGTCGACGTCGACAGCACAGAATTTCAGGGTTCGAGTCTCATTGCAGGACAGAGACGTTTGGGCAACATTTTCTTTCACGTACCAGTAAATAAGGTACTCGGGACCTAGGCAACTGTTGTGGGTTGCATCCTGGAGAGCGTCAGCAGTTGTCTCAATGAGTACAGGTTTCCTGTCCCCGACAATGGGAAACCAAATGGTTGCTATTGACAGAGCCTACTTGAGGAAAATGTTGGTACATGTACTACCGGTATAATGCTCGGTAATAGCTACGCTGCAAGACATGTAATATATACGTAGCAATAAATGATAGAGCACTGAATTACCTGTGATATCCATATGAGGCAATATCTGTGAGATCCATGACGCAAGGCCTTTAAGAATAATGAAAGAACGTTACCAACGCCTTTGTAACGTCTTCACAGAGGTGTCTGTGAAGACGTCAAAGGAGGGCGGAAGAAGGCGCCAGGGGACTGAACCCCGAAAAGAACCGAAGAGGAAGCCGGCGACACAGTCAATGCAGGGCTATTGGATTCCGCACCCAGCGGTCGAAGCAGTGGCGATAGGGCTGCTCCAGAGAAACCAGAGCAACCCCCGAAGCCAAACCCTGCTCAAACGATACACAAGAAGGGCAAAGTTGAGGCTCCAGCACAGCTGCTCGAGCAACTGCAGATTCGTCTGGTACCAACTCAACACGAACAAGTGGGACTAGGCCACTGGAGACAAGGAAAGCGAAGCCGACCGAGTGTCCCAAACGTGGCTCAAATAAGTCTGAACTTGCGCCAGAACCAACTAGAGCTTCTGCCAATTCACCAGTAACCCGAACCCGGCAAGCTGAAAAAGAACGAAATTTCTGACTAGCAGACATGCAGACCAGCTGGGAGCCCACACCAGACAGTCGAGGTAGACCAGAACTCAAACACCTAAGGCCGGCCACACACGTGCAGTTTTAACTGACAGTTATAACTGTTCAGTTAAAACTGTCAGTTAAAACTGCACGTGTGTGGGTATCTCAGTTGCTCATTTCGTCAGTTCAACAGAACTGTACAGTTAAACTGCGACAAATGCAATATTCCATATTTTTAACTGAAAGGAGTAACTGAACTGAACGTGTATGGGGATTCGTAACTGTACAGTTCTCAACTTCTCATTTCTACAGGTGGTAGCGGTGAGTGCAATTTGAGATGGCACGTAAACAAAACCTAGTGATTGTTGAATTCATTGAACTCTATCGATCTGAACCTTGCCTGTGGCAAGTTAAAAGTTAAAAGTTTTCTATTTGCTTGTAGCATTACAAAGAATACACCAAGAGCGGCAAGATCGTACTCCTAGGAATCCATGGTAAAACTGAGGGATTGAACTGTGTGTGTGTGTGTGTGCATTTCATTTTTAACTGACGTCAGTTTGAACTGTGACAATTATAACTGAACAGTCATAACTGTCAGTTAAAACTGCACGTGTGTGGCCGGCCTAGGAATGAAAGACGCGTCACCATGACCCGGGTCAAGAGCATGAAAACGTTTAGTGACTGATTCAGACCAAACGGGTGGACCCAGAAGCAGTAAACCTGACCCTCCCACTACAACCCCTAACCAATCCCTAGAATCTCGAATGTAAAGGAACGTGCCAGTACGAGTTCTGCAGGTCCTGGGAAATCATGAATGCGCCCGCCGCGAGTGCGAGATGGTCCTGGGACAAAATGGTCATCCAGAAAGAGGGGGCAAGGGATAAACTGGTTCAACTGTGACCGATTAAGAATGAGCCAGAGAATCCCAGTTCAGGCTGGAAAAGGGCAGGAAGCCCACCGAAGAGATGTTTCAGTTTCTCAACCCCCGAAGCCACCCAACCGATGACTTGATGGAGATATGGAGAGGAAGTAATGAGGGTGGTCGTGTGTAGTTTAGATGGTTACAGTGTAAAGGTTGTTTGTAGATGAAGATGGGTCATATGTCCCGACCCAGAGAGACCCGAGCCCCAGAAAAGAGGCTGGATCCAAACAACTCCATCGAAGGCCGACAGTGACGACCTGAAAAGCCCCAAAATCGCGAGACCAAATGTTGGCAAACCAGGCTGGCTGAACATCCCATCAACGGGCCAACCGCAAAAGGGCCACCACGAACCGAGACGCCACCTTGTGAGCAGAGCGACCACGGCCCCAACCAGACGCTAACTGCTTCTTCCTGTGACTCCTTCAGTCACAGGAAGCACTTTCGGTCCGGCCACTGACTTAACTGATGGCCTGCCCCGATCAACACCCAGGTGCAGCCCCCGCCTGCACAGACCGTCTCACCGAAGAAAGAGAAGGATCAGAATAGGCAACAAGATGTAGTGGCAGAGGACAAAAATTGAGCCACAGCATCCAGAGGGAGAAAAGGGAGGGAGGGAGAAAGGAGAGGCGGAAGGCCTCTCCTTTCTCCCTCCCTCCCTTTTCTCCCTCTGGATGCTGTGGCTCAATTTTTGTCCTCTGCCACTACATCTTGTTGCCTATTCTGATCCTTCTCTTTCTTCGGTGAGACGGTCTGTGCAGGCGGGGGCTGCACCTGGGTGTTGATCGGGGCAGGCCATCAGTAATACTCACAGGGCACTTAGGGAAGGCTGCCCCAAGAGCATGCAGCTCCTGTATACTTCAGGTACACCTGGCCACCACACCATAAACAGCAGAGGACACGAAGGTAAACACTGCTTAGAATCTGAGGCCAGAGTCGACGTCCGCCCCTGAGCACATCAGTCAATGAACTGGATGGCTTGGGTATCCCGCTGAGAGTCCAGGGTTTCCCCTCCCCCTCACGAAAGGGGAAAGGGAGCTACGCAGAAAGGCAGCATGGCAGTGGTGTGTGATGTTTGCTCGTTTTCTTAAGTTGCAGGGTGAGTTCTGCCTCCCTGTTCGGTTTTTGGTCGTACTTTTTTACCAAGTGGAGTTTGTTTTTTATGCCTACCTTTCTGGGTGCCAACGCCGGTCAATGGCAGATATGGAATGCCCAAAACCACATGGGGGGCTTCTATAGGCCAGTGCTTCCTTTGCCTCTCTGATGGGGGCCAGGTTCAGGCCTTGGTCCCTTGTATACTGAATTCCATCGACTGATGTCCCAGACTAATATATCGCATATCAGTCCAATAGCTCCAGAGCCGTAGGGGCTCCCCACAGAAAACTAAATAAATGTGAGTGTAGCGAGTAAACTTATATTCACTTCATTATCTCATCATCTTAATGGCATAACTAATTAGCACTAATTACACAAGCTATAGTCCTATCCCTATTTACAGGTAACGGTTTTTCCACCCTCCTATCTCATTGTGAGGTGTAGTCACTGTATATAAGCAAGCGATTTGAGAATAGCAAACACGGGAGACATCTCCCGCAGGGTGCAGTTGCACCTCCACAACTCTCCAGTATCAGCTATTGATACTGGTAATGGCTCAAAAGGGCCACCACTTACAGGCTATTCATGCCCATGCCACTTTTTGGGTGGCTTAATCTTCATCAATCAATCGAATAGCAAACAGTACAATTTCCAGTCAAGAATATAGCTCTCGGTGTGTACAATTCTAATCGTCTCCAAGACGCTACAACTTCAACACAGAACAGGAAGCAGACTAGGACCGCATCCAGCTACAACGCTCTCCCACATGAGCTCTGCGACTCCGGCCACACTCGGCTCTCTGTTCTGCTCCAAGCTCCGTCTCAACGTCTACAACACTGCTGCATCCAGGATTATTAAATAAATATGAAACTCACTAAACACTGTGTTTCTACTCTACCCAACAACGTAATATAATCGTACGTTACATGAGAAACATTGAAAGTACATCAACAAAGTTATTACCATGTGGCAACTCAACTAATTAAAAAAAAATGCAACGTCTCCAGGCAACTATGGCTAAACTACAAGAGATAGAGACTTTTGTACTTCCTGGGTGTTAATTAACAATACCAAAAGAAAAAATAATGTTTTTGAAACAATTTATTTTCGGTGCTCCACAGGAATGTGATGGTGCGCAGTGCAGGGGTTAATGAACTTAATGATATACTGTACTGTATCTGCACGAGGAAAACACTCACAAATCCTTCAGCCACAAGGTACATAACATTAAATTTTGTCTACAGTATCCATAGTCATTGACAACAGGTATCGTAATGTGTTTTACAAAACTATTGGCAACATACAAGTCAGCTTATGAAGTGTTAACTCAGCTCAAATAAGCTAATGAAAAATTATATATATTTTCTTTATAACAAGTATACACCACTTTATTGGATAATTTGTTATATATAAAATTTTTTTGTTAAATATTGTCATTATGTAAACTAGTTATAATTTTTCATAAAGAGTAATTCAATATTGTAGTTATTCCTAAAAGCACACAATTTATTTGATGTATAATATACAATAATTACTGTATAATAATAATACATAAATGATGTGAAAGCTCACATACAAGCACACTCATGAATGCATATTGGTAGCCCATAGTGAAAGTTGAGCATGATTTTACCAAGTAGCCAAACTAATCCACAGATAGGAAGTGTTTTACTAAATTGTCCAGTTTTTTTTTCATAAAATGTTTTATCTCTTCAAAAGAAATATATTATATATTTATAATCTAGAGACCCTAGAGCAGCCAATTTTCTCTTTTAGCGCCTTAGTGTGGCGATCCAGAGAGGAAATGCTCACTGCATCCATTTTTCCGGCCTGCCATCTGAGGAGCTGGAGGAGTTGTACAACTTGTGACAAGTAGCCTTGCATGTAACCAATGTTGTAACCCTTTTTGTGTAATGAAATTTTAAAATAGTTAGATATATATACACAAATACAAAAAGAATAGGGGTGGTAGAATAAAATATCAAAGTGTTCAGTAAGGATCCACAAGGTCTTCTCTGAGTACTCTTTATTTTCTTCTCCGAGGCTATGAGTCCCTACACTTGCACCAGAGGTGGTACCCCTTATATATTTTGTTTATTTTATACTTAATGACTTAATATAGGTCAAATCACATATGGGACAGTGACACTTTAATATACTGTACATACATATATTTAATAACATATACACCTTGATTATTAAAGTGCATTTATAACTTTTCTAAACATTTCATATACAAGAACTGTATGTCTAAATATTTTATGCTAAGGAATATATTTTCAAGGTGTAATATTTAACAATCAAATCTGAGCATGGTTGCATGTTATATGTGCAACAATTATTTTAATGTAAACAAGTATTAGAATTTGCATCATGTCAAAACATTCAATTCATTGTCACTACAATAGTATTAAAACTAATGTCATATCAAAAGTAATTAAGCCAATTTCATACCAAAAACCATTAAAACAGAGGCCCTTATGGACAATTACAAGATATATCACATTGAAAACACTTATTCCCACACCAGAATGAGCTCCACTAAGCCACTGCTCAGAGATAGCCGGAATTTTCAAAGACTTTACGGAGTTTAGCAGCCTCTTGGGTAGACAGCGGCTGTAGAGGAGCACGCAGAGGACCACCATAGAAACCTCTCCAGTCCATGACTTGCTTCAGACCTGCAATGCTGAAAGTCTTGGTAACCTGCAGAGAAGAAGCAGAGAAAAATAAATTACTGACTAAAAATTGCAGTAAAGTGAGATTAATATAATTTATGCTACACCAAAGTGGCTTATCAGTTATTATTAGCGATTAAGCAGGTTATGCTGAATTTAAGAATTTTAGTAGGGAGGGAATTATCAGGGGAAAGCACCAATCCAATAAGATTATATAGCACTTGGAAGGGGTCAGGATAAAGATTTGGGATGGGATGGGGAAAGGGAATGGTGTCCAACCACTTGGACAGTCGGGGATTGAACGCCGACCTTCATGAAACGAGACTGCCGCTCTTCCGTCCTGTCCAAGTGGTTGGTCAAGGATTTTAGGAGAAGCCAAAATTATGAATGGTTGGCTCAATATATGCAAAAGACAGAAAGCACTATTTGTTTAGAGAAACATCAATGAAATAAATATTACAGAAAAATTCCATTAATGTTTACATACTGCAGAATTTGGAGCAATAAGTTTCTTCTGCAGCTGAACAGCATCAGTAATGTTCCCATTAACTGTTAGCCTGTGAAGCTCACACACAGCTTCCCCAAGCACATTCGCAAGAGCACAAACACCTCCAACGCCACCTGAAGTACACCCTAAGTGTTAGTTGAATATTTGTGGTAAAGTTACAGTTAATGAAACATTTCAATACTTGGTCCACTTTTGCATTTCCTGTTTACCAAGGATTAGAAATCGGTAAAATATAGGTCCTTGATATGTGAACAAAAATTCACCCAATTTCTAATTAAAAATAAAATGCATTATGTAGCATTAATATTGGTATTGAGGGATTTTGAGCAATTATTACAGAGCTTATAATATATTAAACGGTATTCATAATAGCTATGATAATGTGAAAGAAAAAGAATGATTTTATATAAATGTTGCTGAGCACTTATGTTCAATAAATTATTAATGAAAATAATTTTTAACAGTAAACATATACAGGAGTATTGTATCATACAAAAAATAGTTAATTTTGTACTGGTGAGTGTATATAGTGGTCTAAGGTTTCTTATAGTGCTGTGTGTAGCTCTAAGCAGCAGTCACTGAAATAACACGCTTCTTTAAAGTGATGTTCAGAAGTCTACCACTAACACACTATTATAAATAGGAAATGTAGATGTTTATCTCTCAGAATGTTTGGTAATATGTTTATTGTTTGTGATGTGTGTATATGTATGTATTAACACGATGTATTGAACGGGGTGAGAATAGCTTGAGCTACCTCATCCCTTTGTGTGTATTTTACCTCAATAAACTTATTTCAATTTCAATTTCAATTATAAATTGTCTTGAAGCTGCACTCACAAACAGTTGTGAGCTGGGCACACTTTCACACACACTGGACACACACAGTTGTCTAGCTGGACAAGCAACAATAGAGAATCTATCACTGATGGATATGATAGAGCTCTACAATCCTTGATCAAAATAATGCCCAAATATGCAGATTCAATCTGATATCAACCTCATTAGATTAATTTATATATCCTAACATAAATGAAATACTCCCTTGCAGTGTTTCATGTTGTTTACAGGTTATGTTATGTTGTTTGCATAACCCTCAGAGGCCAAGTAATATTACGATAGACTGCAATATCATAACAAATGTGTGAACCAAACATTCACATCTCACCTATCTGTAAAGTTGCTAGAAGATAGCTTGCAGATCCAGCCATCACATTAAAGTCAGCATCCTTAGTCTCTTGTATTATGCTGCCAATTTTTGTGATCTGCAATGAATCTTTTGTTGATCAATATAATGAATGAAGAGAGTATTTGAGAATACGAGTTAGAGAGGAAACTGGTGGACAGACATGGTGAGTGAGGAAAGTGTGAACAATGCATGGGATACAAGAGACAAATCTGTGAGGAAAAGATTTATAAGGAGGTAGTAATTTAATTGTGATAAATTACTGGAGCAGTGGACACCTGGTTCTATGAAGCAGTGTGATGCTGCTGTTGACGATTGCTGAAATATGGTGTTACTTGTTTATCTTGTTATATTTATGAATGAGAATCTGTATTTATCTATCTGAGGTTGGAGACCAGAGGCTTGGGGCTAGACTCACCCAACTTTTCAAGACGACACATGAGAGGTATAAGTGTCATAGACCAGTTTGGGTAGGTCCAGGTGCCACACTAAGAAATATTGGTAACTACAGCTAGTTCCCTGCAATTTTCATAGTCAAGTTTATAATTAGTGAAGTGTTCTCTGGAGAATTCTTCAGCAGTTTTTCAGTGCTTTGTTGTATGATTTAATTTTTTCTGAGAGATATTGGAAAGGGAAGGAAAGAGGGAGAGGGGAGGAGAATGTTACAGAGGAGATGGGGGATTAGGGAATAGATGAGGAGGAAAAAAAAAAAGAGGTGAAGAGAGACCTGGTCAAAGCCAGGTACTCCCCTATAGTAATGCTATAAGTGTACGATAAAATGAATGAATGATACAGTATCAAAATTTAGAGTACAATAGCATTCTCGCTTCTCATTCTTGTAAATTTCACTTTCGCAGAGCAGAGCATGATGACCGCACACATCAGAAGATGGAGAAATGACAAAGCAAATGGTCTTTACTCCATCTCATCATGATGAGTTTGGTCTTCATATATTCAGCCACATTATTGCGACCTAATCGTCCACAGCCAGAATATTCTTAAAGAAAATGCTTACATCTCCACTGCTCTCCTTTATACCAATGATGTTGGGATGATTGGCAAGATCAACTATTACATCAAGGCCCAAATCAATCACTGAAAAAGAAGAACTGTAATTAGAACTTTATGCAAGAAAATTTAATTAATTTCATAATGCATTCAAGATGTCTTTAATTACAAAATTTCATAATTTTTCCAATTAGTAAGGCCTGATCAGTAAATCTATTAACCTAATCAGTAAGGGTATTGTTAGTTGCATCTCACAGGCCACAACAGCCCTGGCTGATCAGAAAAATAAGCTTAAAATTTTGGAAAAATATACAAGCTAATTCTTGTCTTTAATAATTATTTTTTAAACATTTTTATAATTGTATCCTTGTCCAATTTTCCTTTATTACTAACCACAAACAACTGTATCTGGAATGCATCCTATTTTTGCCAGTTATGGTTCAGTTGACAGAGCATGTGCCCAAGGTGTCCACAAGTTCTATTTTTTTTTTTTTTTTTTTTTTTTTTTTTTTTTTTTTTTTTTTTAGATATATACAAGAGTTGTTACATTCTTGTACAGCCACTAGTACGAGTAGCGTTTCGGGCAGGTCCCTGGAATACGATCCCCTGCCGCGAAGAATCGTAAGTGTTGCTAACATTACTTTGTGGGAATTAGTCTTTCAAGACTAATTCCATCTAAGACTAATTCCGTATTCCATCATACAGCCTTATTAATATATTTATTCAGAGATTGATTATGTTTTTGTGATTTCATTGTGCCTGCATCCTATTTTCTGCACCAGATTATTACACAACACTACATTTTAACACAGAGGTGTCTGGGAATGCATGATTTGACATTGAAAATAAAAAAAAAAAAAAAATCCCCATATTCAAATAAAAAACATCGATAGTGTGACTTGAAAGACTAATTCCCCCAAAGTAATGTTAGCAACACTATAAGCCATGCTACAGTACCTGTAAAGACAGGAACACTGTAGAGGATGATAGGGACAGGACTGTTGTCAGCCACTGCGGTAAAATGAGCATGAAGAGCTTTGTCCTGGAATGATGGCAGAAAAGGCTATAAGGATTTATGGGAGTGAAGGCATTAATTTATCTTAATATTACATGAACACAAAACCAAAATAAAAATAATAATCATTCACTTTATTCTGTAAACCATCATTTTCTCCTTTAATATCAAAATTGTTCCATAAATTATTAACATATGCTTGCTTAACACTTTCGCGCTATCTGGACGCGCCGGCGCGTCCCGTTTCGTCTAACGCTAACGCATAGTGGACATAAAGTTGAGTCCTCTTTTAAAATATTTGTATAAAATTCAATTTTTATCCGATTTACTTTGGGTTTGTTTCAAACTGCGCGCTATGAGGCTCTCTTTCTCACCACTAGGCTGCATGGTACAATAAGTTCATGAAAGGTGTGGATAACTTCGATCAAATGGTATTTTGTCCCAAACGGGTTGCAGGTGGGTGACTTTAGCCGTTTATACTGGTAATGCTTCCCCCATATCATGTATTATATGCATATGTCTGTTTAGGGAATTTTATTCCGATCAATATACAACCAAAAATAACTGTGTGCAACAAGTATAAACTTGACAAACATAACAAAAGTAAAAACATTTCGTGTGTGTTTGACGCTCACTGATATGTTCCAGCGTTGTTTTATATTTGGCGCTATTCTAACTTACGCTTTGTTGATATTTTTTACCTATGGGCACATAGAACATTCTATTGCGAACACATTGACACAAAAATGAATGACGTACATAGAAAATTAATGTCATGAGAGTGAAATAAGTATAAACTTTCAAAGCGCCGTGCGTCGTCCCGTCACCGATACCGGGTAACAATTTCACCACTTCCCACACTCTTGCGGGCGGGCCGCATCATTATTCTACGCTTATATTCATATCACCGTGTTGGGAATTTCATTGCGAGTCCATTGATACCAAAATTAACGCTGTAGAATAAGTGTGGAGGTGATTACAATCCCAAGAGTAAAAACATTTTGTTGCTGATGGGCGCTCACGGCGAGTCATCTTCGTAGTTATTTATTTGGTGCTGGTATCCCTATACGTTTCGTGACTTTTTTTTACTGATGTTCTTCTAGAGAATTTTATTGCGAACACGTTGGTACCAAAATGAAATACGTAGCATGAGAACTAAGGTCAGAAGAGTAAAAAGAGTATAACATTTTTGTTTTTACGCTTAAGCGTACGCTGCGCGCACACTGAGTGACCTTTGCGGAAAGCGCGAAAGTGCTAATAATGACCTACCTAAAATTAGCCTTGCTTTTTTCAGCGACAGGCAGCCTATGTGTATATACTGTATACACTGACCCTCCCCAGGATGCAGCCCCACAACAGGCGACTAACTCCCAGGTACCTATTTACTACTAGGTGAACATTGGCATTAGGTGAAAGTAAATGTGCCAACCATTTCTGTCCCAACTGGGATTGAAACCCAGGATTCCCAACTGCAAGTTGAGAACGAACCTAACTATACTACGAAGACCCTATACCGTATATGAAATGGCACAAGGCCTGCTAGCCTATGCGAGGCAGCTCTTATTTATACCTAATCAAACTCACTCACATACATGTGCTAATACCTATGTTAACCTTGCAGTAAATAAGCTCCCAGGAGCCGAGCAAGTGTTGTGGATTGTATCCTGATGAAAGTCAGTTGTCGGCCGCACCTGTAACAGCATCACACTAAACCTAACAGGCTTCCCATTCCCAAAAATAGGACATCATGACGCCTATTAAAATAATACGGATTGTATGTGGAATTATTACTTTTCTTATCCACTATGTTTAATTATCATATAGACGAATACATCTGGTGAGATTTTGCACGAAATAATCGAGAAATGTTGAGTAAAAAAGCTCGAAGAAAGTTTAAAGTAACCTTAAAGTAACCTTAAAGTTTCTATTTTTATCAACATATTAATTTCTTTTCAAAAATATTATCAGTTATATTTTACATATGCTGATTAATGATAATGGGCTAAAAAGCTGTTAATTTTAATAAATCAATATATTACTCCTTTACTACAAATAAAGCCAGTTCCTTTTATTACCAAAATCTCTGGATTTTGTCTTGAGATATCAGTCCAGCCGCTGATACCACACAATAATTAATTACTTAATTTACACTATTTATTTAACATACACATACACACATACTCCACACACACTGACTCCATACACAGTTTCAAATGTAGATATGACAGAGCCCAGTAGGCTCAGGAATCTGTACATCAGTTGATTGATGGTTGAGAGGCGGGACCAAAGAGCCAGAGCTCAACCCCCGCAAACACAACTAGGTGAGTACAACTAGGTGAGTACACACACACACACACATCCCTACCAGTTGACCTTTACATACCACTGTAATTACATTCCTGGATGAATAGTATTACATAAAAATGTGCTATATTAGCTGAATAATATATGAGGAAACATAAGGTTATGCTCCCAGAGATAACAATGTTGTACATGGCAGGGTTACCTTTATTTAATTATAGTGTAATTACCTAAGTGTACTTATGTAAGTGTAATTAGAGGATGAGACCTATGGTTGTGGGTCTTGCATCCGTCTTCCCAGTACGCTTCGTCATGTAACGCTTTGAAACTACTGATGGTTTTGGCCTCCACCACCTTCTCACTTAACTTGTTCCAACTGTCTACCACTGTGTGTGCTTGTTTTTGAGTTGGTGTCCAAAGTTGGTGAGTTTGTGGCAGTGATGCGAGTGATAAATTGAGTGAGAGAGTGTACGAGTGTGAACCGAGATGGTAGCCAAGTCCTTGGCTCTCTTTGCTGGAGTGAACAAGTGTGCATGCAGTGAATGCATGCACAACTGTTAGTGTGCAATAGTGTGTGTGTAATTTAAATGAAAATTGTGCTATATAAATGTACGTTATATAAGAATCCACTGTATGTGGGAATGATATAGTAATGGTGTACATTAGAGATGTATAATGAGTGAAAGGAACAAGAGAATGAAATGTCGAGTACTGGTATGGACACGTTAATAGGATGCCTGAAGCTCGTTTAACAGGAAGGGTGCACAAAGTGGAAACAAGGGAACTATATGGTCAAGGCAGATAAACAATACCTTGGAAGGGCAAAGTGGAACACTACCTAAGAGAAAGGGTTGGGGGGGGGGGGATAAAAATGAGCTTGAAAGAGTGAAAGGTTTGGCTGGTCTTGTAATAGATGGAGAAACATCTGCTATGACTTCTCCCTGATGGAGCAACTCATCCTTTCAACTAAAAAGCCTAATTTTGTATGCTATGGTCCCCAAAGTACAAAATAAGGGGTACTGTGAAAAGTAGCAGCTCACAAATATCCACATTGTCTTTTGGTAGGTTGATTAGATTAGGTGGTATCTATCTATATTTCATACATACATACATACATACATACATACATACATACATACATACCCACACACACACACCCAAGGTTGAACTACTGACCCTCCCCAGGATGCAACCCCACAACAAGCTGACTAACTCCTGGGTATCAATTTACTGCTTGATCAACAGAGGCATTAGATGAAAGGAAACGTGCCCACCCATTTCCATTCCACCCGGAATTCCAATTGTGCATCAAGAGTGAACCGAGACCCCTAACATATCAGTACACTGTACTGTACTTCAAAGGTTAAACTAGCTTAAAAAGGCAAATGTGGATGCAGGTTGATGGCCCTTAACCATTGCTTTATTAGTATGTGACAGCTGTTTCTTCCATCATAATTAACCATTTTTTATCTTAAAAGCTAATCCAAGGAATTAAATATTTTGGGAGATATTCTACATCTAACATCGAACCCCATTATCATAACCTAACCTAACCTAACATCATTGATCTTGCTCCTTTGTAACCACCATAACTGTTGATTACCTGCTTGCAATTTCGAGAGCTTGGCCTCTGGCCAGCCTTCCCTGGTTGGTCTGTGAGGCTGCTTGTCCTCATAGCCCAAAGGCCTACATATGCTTTCTTGGTAATTGATTACTATATCAATTTCATACTTGCCTTGAAAGATTCTTACCTTCATGCTTCCTTTATAATAGTTTGGAGTGACAACCATTACTGCATCAGCCCCGGCTGCAGCCATATTTTGTGTCATGGAGATAGTATCTCGTGTAGCTGAGGGTTAGACAAATCACGTCAGGACTAAAAATTTAACCAGGAAAAATTATTATTCATTGTATTGTTCAATAACTGCATCCTTAAAAAGAGTTGCCTAAAAATTATGTCTGTCAATAATTAACTGTACTGCTGCCAGTATACAGTACTATGATTTTTAATAGAGTAGACATATATTTATAATGCTTTCTGAGGGTTTTGTTTTTAACCAATTACTTTTCCATAATATGCAGGTGGTGACTGCTTCATTTAATGATAGCCAAACTTCATATGGAATTTATCTTGAATTTAATATATGCAGTATTAGAAGAAGACTCTAGATGTTACCTTCCCATCAATTACCTTATTCTATCTTCACACATTTTTTATGTATAGTACATTATTCTGAAGCTTCTTGAAAGCCAGTTTACAGATTAAATATATGAATACAGTCATCCCACTCCATGAATATCTACAAATGAAAGAACCATTAATGGACAACTGCTATTTAATTATACAGTAATCCTAATCGTTAAATGGAATTTATATGATTTTAAGTTCTTAAAAACTATACACACTATAATGATTTTTTTATTATCCTATAGAAAGAAAAATTACTTCTAAAGAATTTCTTATACTGTATACAGTTACAAATGTAATCTTTCTTATGCAGCCGTCATCTTTACACATGCTGCAAATGCTACGCAGTGGTCAGAGCAGTTGGCTCCCAACCGATGGATCCAAGATCGATTCCCAGACAGGGCATGAGGTTATCTTGAGATTCTTGAGATGATTTCGGGGCTTTAGTGTCCCCTCGGCCAGGCCCTCGACCAGGCCTCCACCCCCAAGAAGCAGCCCGTGACAGCTGACTAACACCCAGGTACCTATTTTACTGCTAGGTAACAGGCACATAGGGTGAAAGAAACTCTACCCATTGTTTCTCGCCGGCGCCTGGGATCGAACGCAGGACCACAGGATTACAAGTCCAGCGTGCTGTCCGCTCGACCGACCGGCTCCCCACCTTTCGTCACCTTATATGCCTCTGTTCACCTAGTAGCAAATAGGTACCCAGGAGTTAGGCAACTATTATGGGTTGCATCATGGAAAAGGTCATGTCATTGGCCTAGTGAGACCTTGATAAGTTTAACAGGATTTCTGTCATCAACAATGAAACCAAAATACAGTATTTTACAGTACTGTACTGTATTGCAATTTATTTTAAATTCATTATTTTCATATCAATGCATAGGAGGAGCCCATGTACAAAATTTTTGCGATTAATTCTAAATCTGAATTAGTAAAAAATAATTACTTTGCATTAAAGGCACTCACATTCACATCCTGAGCCAGCTAATATTAGTTTGTCTGAGTTTCTTGGAAGAAATTCACGGACACGTTTCACCAACTCCACTCGTTCTTCTCGAGTTAGGTATACATATTCTCCATTGCTGCCTTCCACTACCAATCCTGCAAGATAATCATGTTAAACTAAACAGGCTTCAATTATACTGATTCAAAATAAAATAAATATTAACCAAGAAAATTAATACAATAGTGTGTGTATGTATTAAAGAATCCTGAAAAGAGTTGTATTAATATCTGCAATAAGTAATATAAATGTAGTGGTCGATATAATATATTCTGGAAAAGATATAAGATAAAGACTAAGGTGTAATAATGAATTCTCACCTTTGACCCTTTTCTGTGTCTTTTTTTTATATACAGGAAAAAGAACAGATAACCTCTAGCTCCTATTAGCAGACTAAGAGCTTTCCCTTCCTGGAGTTTACCTGGAGAGGGTTCCAGGAGTTGTTCTGGTCCCTAAGGCCGGCCTGAGGCCAGGACTGATTGTGACAACTTGGTCTACTAGACTGTTGTCTGGTGCATCCTGCAGACCCACATATCTCCTATACCTCAATTGGTCTGTCACTTCTTGCAGAACCTTATTTAATTGCATCTTGAAGACATCCACCTTTGCTTCGGCAGCTTTCCCCCCCCCCCCTGGCCAGGATATGAACCCAGACCAAATCGCTCACTAAGTGCAGGGCAAAGGTGTTTCCACTGGGGTCACAAGAGACTGTGGGCTTTCAAAATGTTAAACAAATAGAACAGAATAAAAAAAATAGCATAATCAAGTAAAAATAAATAAATAAATGATTATTCTGGTAAAAGTACATACCTTCAAAATGAGTTACAAACAGAATGTTGGATTTCTAGATAGAGCTAGTACATACTATGCCAGAAGTCATTAATACGCACAGCGTTTCGGGCAGAGATTAATATTATACAGTACATTGTGATATTGGAACCAATCACAAATGGAAAAAATGTATCAATATACAATTTATTTATTTTATTTATTTCTTTATATACAAGAAGGTACATTTGGTTTGTGAAAATACATAGCATAGTATTTACAATCTTGTAAAGTCAGTAGTACCCACAGTGTTTCGGGCAGGTCTTTAATCTAACCCATAATTTTAAGCAGGTAAGTACAAACAAAATGTATGCATGTATATTTAGCAACATACAGTATTGATCATTTCCTCACCTCTGAACGGAATCTTGTTCCATATGGCGAGGTTGGAGGCCAACTTGTCGTAAGCGATGGTCTCATCTGGGTTGAAGGGGGTTGGTATGGGGGGGAAGACCCCTCTCAGGTCCACACCTCCAGCCTGGCCTGAGGTAGGGGCTGACACTGACAGCAGGCGCTGGTGTGGCCCCCGTGAGGCCACACTCTGCCACACCCTGCTGGCCACACTCTTCCCAAACAGTGCCATGATGCAGACTGAAGATGCCAGGCGCTCATCTCTCATGGACCTTGGACCGTCCTGGGGTCCTCGACCTCCTCCTTACCCCAGGACCCACGACGACCCTCCTCCACCTCACCACTATACGTGTCTGCACCACGTGTTGCAAGTTCTGACACGTGCTTTACACACGTGGCACAAACACGTGTTTGTTTACGTGTGTTTGGGTGAGACCGCACACGTGCCCGGCTCCAAACTTGAATAGTTTCAAAATATTTTGATTGGAATAATCGATTTAACTCTGCAATATTGACCTTTTAGTTAAGTTTAAGCAAAAATATGTGTTTTAATGGCCTTATAATTTTCTCGCCATGCTTGTATGCGATAACTGTAACATTTACCGTGTTCATCTTGGGGAAAAAATATGCACTATTTCTCGAGTTGCCAACCTGTTATCTCCTCTTGTTACTATGGCGCCATATTTTGTCAAATTCCCTTCATTATTTCCCCGTTTTAAACTAATGAGTTAACTAAGAACTCTATCAAAATGAAAGACAATTAAAAGAAGACATTAACAGTAAATTAATATCAAAATGGATCTTGATTTACAGCTACATTGTCAAAATTCCGTGCTGGCAACTCGAATACGTTGCAAGCTATTTTTTTTTTTGTTCCAAACAAAAGCATCAAGTTGTTCACTCAAGCTTAAGTACAAGCACTGTGGAAGACCTTACTCTGTAGTCTTATTCTCTTGATCTGCTTCGTCTTGTCAGGCAGATTTATGCATGAGCTGTTATCCACCGTTCTTTGATCGTTAATGTTATTTAAGATATGACCTTTAGCTATTTCTCATCCCATTTCTCAATTTCGTATAGATATTCTGGCATTCTATCAGTCTTAACTCTTGTCGCGAACTTGTTATCATCTCATAACATGGATATGAATCCAGGATCCCTGAATGTGAGTCGAAAACGTGAACCGCTGTAAATAATAGTGGACCGCTATACTATCTTTTATGTGGGATGGTGTCGAACAGCTTCTACTCGAGAGAAACAATAGTCTGTCTACTATCTTCTTTTCATAAAACTCTATCAGGTTTGCTAGCCATGAATCCGCCCCACAGAGGGTAGGCTTCAGATGAGCTGATGTTGGAAAATAGCTCGTACCTTGAGTGAGTGAGCGAGTGAGTGAGTGAGTGAGCGAGTGAGTGAGTGAGTGAGTGAGTGAGTGAGTGAGTGAGTGAGTGAGTGAGTGAGTGAGTGAGTGAGTGAGTGAGTGAGTGAGTGAGTGAGTGAGTGAGTCCCGTACAGAGTACGAGTATTTCCTTACAATTTTTCGACTCATTTGTGTTCCCAGCTTTCTATCCGTCCTCTAGTCCTCCTTTTTCTCACTTTAAGGACCAAACTATCCTTAGTACCACGCACATCAATATTTATGTTTTAGGAGAACAACTGGAACAAAAACAGTGACTCCAAGTATAGCAGTCTTCGTAGCGTCAATTACTATTAATCCCAAGCACATGTAACAGTCATGTCCACGATCAATGAGTGAATCTGTAGCTAATAGCATCAAAAGCGGGCGGTGATTGGTTCATTACTAAGCTCAGCGTCTCAAAGGAGCGTTTCTGAGGAAAGATGATTACACGAACGGCGAGTGGATTTGTCCAGATTGCAGTGTAAACAGTGTATGTAGTATCGACTGGAGTCATACGAATGTAGTTTAATGTGGTATATTGCTTTCCTTCTCCCTAGCTCACACACACACACACAGTCACACTAATCTTTACAAACTCCAGAAGCTAGCAAACAAGTGATTGTAAGAATTCAACCCCAGTAAGTGTAATGTAAGGAAGATGGGGAAATGAGAAAAAGAAGATAGGTGGTACCTACACCTTAAGGTGAAAGCAGCTGCAGGAGTCAGAGAGAGAGAGAAAAGGATCTGGGAGAGGATATAACTCCAACACTATCGCAAAAGGCACACACAAACAGAGTAACATCGGAAAAAGTAACAAAAGGAAAAAAAGAAATACAGGGGCCATGATCGCAACATACTAGATGCTGAGAGGAATTGACAATATAAACAAGGAAAGCCTCTTTAACAAAAATATATATATATATATATATATATATATATATATATATATATATATATATATATATATATATATATATATGTCGTACCTAGTAGCCAGAACGCACTTGTCAGCCTACTATGCAAGGCCAAATTTGCCTAATAAGCCAAGTTTTCCTGAATTAATATATTTTCTCAAATTTTTTTCTTATGAAAAGATAAAGCTACCCATTTCATTATGTATGAGGTCAATTTTTTTTTATTGTAGTTAAAATTAACGTAGACATATGACCGAACCTAACCAACCCTACCTAACCTAACCTAACCTATCTTTATAGGTTAGGTTAGGTTAGGTAGCCAAAAAAGTTAGGTTAGGTTAGGTTAGGTAGGTTAGGTCGTCGAAAAACAATTAATTCATGAAAACTTGGCTTATTAGGCAAATCGGGCCTTGCATAGTAGGCTGAGAAGTGCGTTCTGGCTACTAGGTACGACATATATATATATATATATATATATATATATATATATATATATATATATATATATATATATATATATATATATATACAACACATACAAGACAAATGCCTAAAGGTTATGGATCTCTTGAAGCTCCTCCGCTTCTGGACAGGAACCGAGGACGCAGCAAGCATTTCCCCTCTGGATCGCCACACTGAGACGCTGAAATAAAAAACTGGAAGCCCTTGGGTCTCTGGTGACGTCAATGAGCTTGGAACCCAATTCCTTGAGAAATCCCAAGGCACTCTTGCCCCAGGGGCCATGCGTCTCAGACGCTATGGGAACAAAGAGGTATTGACCTTCCAGTCGCCTGTACTTGAGTGATTTTGCTGTTTCCCTGTGGTTGGCCGCCCCACCTGCTTGATCAGCTCCGAAGTGTACATAGGTGTCAGCCAGGGTGGATACACATGTGTAGTCCCACACCAACTGTCTACCCTCCTTCCATGAGTAGTCTCCGTGGTGTAGTGGTAAGACACTTGCCTGGCGTTCCGCGAGCGCTATGTCATGGGTTCGTATCCTGGCCGGGGAGGATTTACTGGGCGCAATTCCTTAACTGTAGCCTCTGTTTAACGCAACAGTAAAATGTGTACTTGGATGAAAAAACGATTCTTCGCGGCAGGGGATCGTATTCCAGGGACCATAGGATTAAGAACTTGCCCGAAACGCTACGCGTACTAGTGGCTGTACAAGAATGTAACAACTCTTGTATATATCTCAAAAAAAAAAAAAAAAAAAAAAAGTATATGGTGATGCCATCAGGGCGAAGTGCGGGGAAATCCGGGTTTTGGACCCCTAGGATGCGAGGTTCTCTCTCCGCTGGGCACCCAGCCGAGACGAGGCTTCTCTTGATGATGTCATTGACCTCGTTGTGTCTTGCATGCCAGCCCTTTGTGCTTCCGCAATGCAACCCATGCAGTCCGTATTGGTCTGCTTCCACCCTGTTGCAAATACACTTGTATTCAGTGTGAATTGGGGCACCAAGGCGGAGGGCCACTGCTACACGAAGGGATTCTGGATCTAGGCGCGTGCCCATTGCTGACATGGGTACTGCCAGGAGGAAGTCTCCTGCATGGGGGGCACGCACTGCTCTGAGGCGGGCTTTCTCCTTGTCTGATGTTGCGACGCTGAGCATGGCATCAGCTACTTTTTCCACTAGAGGGTGGTCCCAGCCGGACTGTTTGTGTTGTTTTGTTGGCTCTATAATGGTGGCTGGGGCTGCAAGAACATCCCACTGATTTGAACATTCAGTGAACGCAGGATCGTGTATTCCTGCTGAATCTCTCAGGGTTGCAGGTAAAAATATATATATATATATATATATATATATATATATATATATATATATATATATATATATATATATATATATATACCCAAGAATACTTATACGTGTGGGTGTGATGTTAAGGGAGGTGTTTACCCTGTCGGGGATTGGGTAATCCTGTCCTGTACCCTCATTGGTCGACTGGGGTGGTAGGGGCTGTGTAAACGTTCGCTATTTATAACTAGATGAGAGTGCTTGATGTGAAGAGCCTCTGCAAAGCCTAATCTCCCATTGACGCTAAGCTACAGAAAATGTGGCTAGGCTTCAGTTAACTTCTTCAAGCAATAAAATATTTATGAAATTTGGGATACAGCAGGTGCCTGAGTTGGCTCTCTGACCTGTGCCAACACACACACTATTAGAGTAGAGTCATGGGAGCAGCAATCTATTGGTGTCTATCAGTTAAACAAGTGACATGGAGAAAGTAAAGTTACTATCAACACAGCACCAGACTTGAGAAAGATAAGATACTTGCACACACAAAAAATGAATCGAAGTGGGATATCATCGAGATATACAAGATACTTAAAAGATATTTCGATAAAGCAGACAAAGAAACTTGAAAGTTGAACAGAGACTAAGGAAGAGCAATTAAAAACAAAGTGTATCATGATAATTTAAATAATCAACAAAAACAAAGAAAAATGGGCGACCTTAAAGAAAATATATTGGGTGTGCTTCGTGGATATCAGCAGGCAGCAGGCAATATTTTTAAAGGGAAGTTTAGGAAGAGCTCAGGCCTAAATCCCAGAAAGTTTCATTTTGGAAAATGATGTTATTCCCGTCACTGTGAAGACCCTTTATGATGATGATGATGGTGAGTGAGAGAGAGAGAGAGAGAGAGAGAGAGAGAGAGAGAGAGAGAGAGAGAGAGAGAGAGAGAGAGAGAGAGAGAGAGAGAGAGAGAGAGAGAGAGAGACAGAGAGAGAGAGAGAGACAGAGACAGAGAGAGAGAGAGAGAGAGAGAGAGAGAGAGAGAGAGAGAGAGAGAGAGAGAGAGAGAGAGAGAGAGAGAGAGAGAGCTTCAACATAGTTTTCGACACCGGAGAGATGACGAAGGTATTACTGTTATGTATCAGAACAAACTACTCAATTTTGAGGACAGCCAGAAGACGGCCATTACAACACAAGACGCTCAGTCTCTTTCAATCTTGCACTTTGCTATTTAGTGTTGTTTCATAGATTTGGTCGAACTGGGGAATATAAAAAAAAATATACTTATTTATGATGAGATGTTGATGGGTTTCTTTACTTTATTACATCGAGGAAGAGTTTCAGGTCAGAGTTTGTGTTAA